GCATTAATAATATTTTCTTTAACATTTTTTCAAAAGAAAAGTTTAAGATTGAATTTAAGGTTCTAAACCCGACTAATTCCCTGCAGCAGGTTAGTTTTTCCATTTATACTACCCAGCGGGGTAAAAACTGTCAAAAAGACGAAAGCAGTTGTTTTAAATAAGTTTTTGAAATGTTTGATCTTTTCATTTTTAGAAAATAATAAAGTGTAAGATTCTCGGTATTCTTTATTTTTATGGTTTGAAATTGATTGTTAATACTTAAAATGTAAAAGATATAGAATAGTAGATAATAAATAGAAATAAATACTTATTGCATGTTATTAAAGCTATAACATATATTAACATACCCACATCCACAAATATAGAATTAAATTTAAAATCAAATTTCCACGGATTTCTTGTGTCTATATTAGCTTTAATTAAAAACTAAAAATATGTGTTTAAGAAGATAACTATCAATTTCAAATGATATATTGTAGTTTTTCTATCTTGAAAGGCGTTTATCTTTGTATATTACTTTCTGTTTTCCTGCAGTAGAAACGCGAAAGTCATTTTCGTAGAGATCTCAAAATTTAGAATAATCAGTTCTCCAAATTATAACAAATTATATCTTATTCGTACTTGTCAGATTCCGTTGTGAATCAGACATTGCCATCTTTGCTTTAGACGCATTAGAAATTACGTTTACAGTCCCTTTAATGTTTTCACAATTTTAGGAGCTAGGGCGAAGGTTAGGGGTCTGTAAATACGGTGAATCTTGCAGGTAAGAGAGTAATCATAGTAATTTCTTTTTCACACCAAGACATTTAGTCTTTGCCACAAACTCAATATTATAATCCCCATATCTTTGAAACCAGATGGGACACACTTTTGTTATGTAAAACTATTTTGTTTTTTCAAACTTATTTGATCCACGAAATTCATAGTTTGAAATATCTATGGTCTACGACATTGGGCTTTTCAAAGATATCGGGTTTAAAAATCAGAGTTTGTTGCAAAGATTCAATTCCTTAAACTGTTTGGTCCTCTTGTCGCATTTTAACAAGCTTTCACTTTCAATCCTAAATGAACCAATTAAACATTAAGTTTTCGTTGTTTTCTTGTATACTTTCGTTTCGGCGGCCGGACCAAGTGAATTTTTGTTTCGGCAACATAATTGTGAAAATCTATAGGATATTTCTTGATATTTCTTGAATAGTTGATCTGGAAATATCAAGTTTGAAACATCGATTATTTTAATAGATTTTTCTTAAATAAACATTTTTGGATCAATACGCCTTGTTTTACATTATTTTTGTAATTCAATCGACATGCGTTGGGGGGGGGGGGTGCAATGGCGACTCATCCCCTCCCCTGGATAGGTAAATTATATGTTTTCCAGGGAGGTTTTAGGCCCAAACGGGTGCTGAGCCACCATCTGGAATGAAAATAATTTAAATGGTTTGTTTGCATTATTTCGGTTCATTTCTGCGTCATAATAACTTATTTTTGAATCATTATTCATAATATGTTAACACAGAGAAATTAAGGGGTTTATCCTACTAATGTAAATACTAATTAAACGTAAATACTAATTAGAGTATTGGAAGAAACTAATTCCACACTGTGCTATTCATTGATTTCTCAAGGAGTCCTATAGACTTCTTCATAATTTAATTTACAATTTTCAATTCATACCTTGCAACCTGATGGTGTATATATTTCAAACTTTGAGAAACTAAGTCTTTACCACTAACGGACACAAAAAAAGGGAAACAACTTGGTTAAAAAGTGTTTAAAAATCTCAAAACATAAAAGAGCACAACGCGACGGAGAGTTTTGGAATTTTTTTTAAAATTGCATTATTATATAATGAATTAATTTGTGTTCATACTAATCCTTTGAAAATAAAAAACACGAGAAAACACAAAAAATTTTCAGTTTTGTAAATTATATTAATAAAATGAATGAATAAGCGTGTGTCAATACAAAAACTTAGAAAAACTCCTCCTCAAAGCAAACAATTCATTAGAGAAGAAAAAACATGAAAGTTTGGACGAGAAACTTGTTTTGTTTTCATTTCTTTTCAAAGTAATGAAAAGACATCTTTTTTTACTTTTCAGTCGTAGATTTCTTCTTAACTATCGTTCATAAAAGCTGTAATGAAAACGGAAAATCAAAAATAATATCCCAAAAAAATTATTCCAAAACAAACAAAAAAATAATTGCAGAGTCCGAAAAATATTTTATGTTTTTAACATTACACTTCTTTAAGAAAATATACGCATTTTAAGGGCCTTGGAATTGTCATTGGAATGTGTGGGTTTTGAGTGCAGGGTAAAATAAGTTTGCAAAAACAATTTGAAAAACTTGTAAAATCTGCTTCCTTCTGACATAGACTTTTCTAAAAAAGTGAAAGATTTTCTAAAAATCAACGTGATTCAAAACAGATTTTAAGTTTGGAATTGATAAACCAGACATTCAGGCAGTAGTATGCCTCAGGACTTAAAGCTTTGTCCAATATCCTTCATCAGTCAAAGGTTTAAAGGGCAACGTTGTGAATCCAGGAATGGAAGGTCACTTGAAATTACGCGTATAGTCACTTTAAAATTTTTGTCCTCAGGCCTAAGGTGGACAACTATTTGAATTGAATTTGATTTGATTCTAAAATTTGAACAGACTCAGACAAACACATTTCGTGCTATAATAAAGAAACACTCACGGGCAGCCGTGTACATTTGAATTTTCGAGCCAGGTTAACCTTACCGGTCCCAGTTTGTACTGTATCGCCCTGACATTGGGTAAATAAAGCAGACACTCAATGGGACTAGCCGGTGCAACAAAGTTGACGTGGCCAGACATTAGGTTGAATTTACTTTTACTGAAGGGTCACTGCGTGCACTGAAGGCCAAGGATGTAGGGGTGGTAGGGGCTAGATGAACCCCCCCTCGTGCTAGGAACCAAATAATTCAAGATTATTGTGTAACGCACGACGGAATAATTGAATTGAATGAAACCAGATTGAATGGCAGCTCATTAAAGAAAACAATAGAGCTAGGATTTATACCTTTTGTCACAATAAAGTCTCAATTTGAAGAAACTATTTTCAAACTTTAGAAACGCAAAACTCAAAAGGCACAGCTTTGAAAAAGAAAAAAAACATAATTTATCTAGGGAGGGGGTGGGTGGATGGGGGGGGGGGTAATACATTTGGTTTTCTTGGTATTATGATAAAGCATGTTCTTTGAATTGGAGTACATCAATGAAAATAATCAAAACTCAGTATTTTTGAAAAATAATAAGTTTCTTTTTTACATTTTATTAATGTATATTATTTGAACGTTCACTATTCAAAAAACAAGCACTCAGGAAATAAGTCGTTGTTTTCAGGGTTTTTTTTTCAAATCAAAATGTTATATTTTTTGATTATCTTGATGCTAAAATGTTAATGCTAAAAAGTGAAAATGATGTTAATGCTAAAAAGTGAAAAATTGGGAGAACTTAAGTTAAAAAGGATCACGTCGGTTCGAACAATCCTTATCTACACTGCTTTGGTCGCCTAGATACATTAGAATAGATTGCTTATGCAGACTATATAGCTGAAAATTGTACAACCCCTTGTACATCATAAATATAAATCATACGAAAAGGTCAGTGGATACGTTTTACTTCTCGTGGTCAATCTATAGACATTTATTTTAATTGATCAGTATCTTGTCAATCTACATTATGTGTATTATACAGGCCGGTCCTCTATACAAAATAAAACATTCCATAGAATGTGTCTACGGAGAATAAACAATACTTCCCGCAACTCTTTTTATGGACGTATCTAGTACAGGGCGCTGAATTCATATGTTCAATTTCAGCTGGAACACTCCGGTATGTAGAAGGCGACATCAAGTATCTAATCTAATTTATATATGTTTGGTCGGCAGCTCCCGGCTTAGAAGGACTCAGAGTTGGTTCGTCAATAATCCAATTAACTTAATCATCATAACTCATTATTTCTAAGACTCTTTTCTTTTAATTTCCAAAAATGATTATCCTACATATTAAATAAATAATTTGAGAAAAACCATAAATTTCCCCCAAAAAATATATAAAGAAAACTTTTTAAGTGAAAACTATGTGTGAAATGAGCCAGTGATATTTCAATAAAGCACCCAGAAACAGTTATTAATTATTATTTTTAAAAATTTTAAAAAATTAGTCTTTGCCATAAACCCAAACTGTCTAATCCCTATATTTTTACAACCTAATATTTCAAACTTCGACTATTTGATCTTACAGATTCAGAAATATCTGAGGTTTACAACATAGGGCTGCAACATCAGAGTTTGTGGCTAGGACTCATGACTTACTTACTTACGAGTCATGACTGGTTGTAACAGATCCACCTATATCACGGGCAGCCGTGGTACATTTGAATTTCTGAGCCGGGTCAACCTTTCCGGTCCCAGTTTGTACTGTATCGTCCGGACATTGGGTAAATAAAGCAGATACTCAATAGGACTAGCCGGTGCTACAAGTTTGACGCGATCAGACTTTAGGTTGAATTTACTTTTACTGAAGGGTCAGAGGTGCGTGATATATACAGTAATTGGATAAGTTTTAATTGTTTTCAAAAATTCAAATTAGTGCCTTTCATCATTTTTAATTCAATATTTGTTTAGTTTGGATCTGCAGACAGCTCTCCAGCTTGATGCTTTGCTTGTTATTACACTGGGGCTGAAAAACATGAATTTTCAGGTTTGTTTTTAGGAAATCTTTTTTATTTTTACCCGACATTGAATACACAGAAATATACAGAATTTATGTGTCGTTTTTTGGAGCTTTTTTGAAGCGATTAGGTCATGAAGGTTTCAGTTTTGAAGAATAATTGGCAAATCCCCAATTGTAACAAACTCAAATTTTCTAATCTCTATATCTTTGAAACCTGATTGATGGTCACAAACGTAAAAATATAATAAAATCTTAGACTCTCTGCAGAGACTCTCTTCTGAAGAGGACTCGTTCTCTCTGTTATTAGACAAGGTTTACTATAGATCTTTTAAGATGACCCAAACATTGAAGATATTCAATCAATCTTTGTAAATTATCAGAATATTAAACACTAGGTTTTTAGGGCCTTTCGTGTCCATCTTCTATTTCAACAATGAACATTTTTCTCTTTTTATGCATTGTAAAACAAAAAATGAAAAAAATAACGGATTTAAATAAAAATTTCGTGGATTTTAGAATTTGATGCAAATCGAATTTTGTTGGAGGCAAAATTTTGATTATCTATAAACCTTCCCTGGGGACATATGAGGTACCACACAAAATTTTGACCCAATCGGTTCAGCCGTTTTGACAAGCAAAGTATATATAGATAGGAGAGAAATCTTAAATATACAGAACTCTATATACTCGCATAACTGTTAACTGCGAAAGTTCAGTTTTTGGGTCTTGAAAGCACAGTGTATACTGTATATAATATACAATATGGGACCTATAAACTGTGCATGGGAAAAAAAACAAATAAGTTTCGACCTACTGATAAAACGCAGTTTCAATGAATAATGTCATTATGTCAACGTTTGCAACATTAAATCATTTATATATGTACAACGTACTGCAGTTTTACAGAATATCATGTTTCCACAATTTTTACTACATGGGTCCCCAGTAAATATTGTTATAACATTTCTTTATTAATTATTAGAGTGAGAAATATGAGATGGTTAAACCTGCAGACTGCAAAACTGATCAGGTATAAGTTATATTTAGGTTAACACATAAATCCATAATCCATAAACCAGAAATTTTCAAGACTATAGTTCGACTTTGAAGTGTTGCAATGCCTTGGCCTTTGATTTAACCTCACTAACTTACTCATAACTTATTTCAGTACTGGACATGTACTGTACAGTTTAGTCCTGGACATGTACTGTACAGTTTAGTCCTGGACATGTACTGTACAGTTTAGTCCTGGACATGTACTGTACAGTTTAGTCCTGGACATATACTGTACCGTTTAATCCTGGACATGTACTGTACAGTTTAGTCCTGGACATGTACTGTACAGTTTGGAACTTTATACCTTGCTTTTAGTTTTTAAGAAGTTATTTGCTTGAGAGTTTGCAACCCTTGGACACGGGCAGCCGTATACATTTGAATTTCCGAGCCGGGTCAACCTTTCCGGTCCCAGTTTGTACTGTATCGCTTGGACATTGGGTAAATAAAGCAGACACTCAATAGGACTAGCCGTTGCAACAAGGTTGACGCGGTCAGACTTTAGGTTGAATTTAGGGTCAGAGGTGCGTGTGAATCATGTGGGTTGGATAAAAAAGAACACTATCCTACAAATTGTGTCAAAAAGGAAAAAAAAACTGCATAATTTTCAATATATAAAGATTACAGGGCCACCCACAAAGAATGAATCTTAAGAGACGACTGTAAAGAGCTTATTTAGTCCTTTTTCTTACAATTCCTGCACGTCAAAAACGACTTTTCAAAATCATTTTGGGAAGAATTAAAATACCAATTTGATGGCAGAAATCAATCATCAGAAATCATATTTTAATGGTTTTGAGTCGGCATAAAAGTCTATTTTGTTATGTGTGAACCTGTAAATAAATATGTGAAACTGTATCAAAAGACCAATTTTTTTAAATGTTTAATTCAGTTTAACTTTTCATCCCCTCCTCCCCCCCCCAAAAAAAATAAAAAGATAAACGTCATCAGCTGAATGAAAATAATTTTTCTTGGATATTATCTTTGATTCTTGGTCCAATTGACATCTGCATTATTCTCATCATGGAATATCATTCCTTGGATCATATCCAACAATTAATATGAAACATATAGAATAAACATGCATTACATTCTAGGGTTTTCAATTATTAACAAAACTAGGCTTCTGTAAGTATCTTCTCTTTTTNTGTCCCACAAAAATTTTGGGCCCGATCGGTTCAGCCGTTTTGACGTTTATTGGATACAAACAAACAAACAAACAAACAGACAAACAGACAAGCCAAATTTATATATAGATAACAAACAAAATGAGCAGATTTCATAATATTTTTTCGCACATTTTCAAAATTTTATAAAAATCAAAACTTTTGTACCCACTTTTTGTAATTTTGAGCATCCATCAACCTTCCTTGGGGTCATGTGAGGTCCCACACAAAATTTGGGCCCGGTCGGTTCAGCCGTTTTGACGTTAATAAGGCAGCCAAACAGACAGAGAAACAAGCAAAGTATATATATATAGAAGATATCTTTATAATGTTCTAAAACATCATAACATTCAAGTTTCTTAAGATCTTAAAATAAGTACAATTTTTTTTGAGGTGGGGGGGGGAGGAATTGAATTTATTCTTTTTCAAATTTTTGAATATACTTTTCAAATGATTCGCGCTTAAAGGGGCAATTTTTTAAAACTTTTGAAGTTTTGAATGCAAATTTTACTTAATGATTATCAACATTTTTTTTGCCACAGGTTTTTCATTTAAAATTTTTTTCACTAATTTGTTTATACTAAACTCAAAATTCCTGAAAAATTGTGATATTTTCCCATTTCTAAAAGAAGGGGGTTTTGGAGGGAAGGGGGGGGGGTGAACACCATCTCTTTTAAACCAAAAAATACTGCGCATATATTTGAATTTTTTGATAAAAGTAATAAATTAAAGATAAAAATAAGATCTAGCATTTTTCTTCTTAATTTTATTTTTAGTTTTGAGTTAAAAATAACTTTATATTTTTTCAATGCACAATGTGAAAAGATAATAAAAAACTGTCCCTTTAAGCTAAACTAGATTCATCTTATGGAGGGAAAGTAGTGGTTTAAAGTCTTGTTATGGTATTCGCTATAACCCTTTTTAAAAAATATTTTACTGAAAAACGTAAGACAAATTTTACTGTAAGCTTATTTCATCAATAAAAAAATAAACTCTTATATTTATTTATATATATACATGTACAGGGTGTCCCAAAAAACATGGGAATTCAGTGACGAATTCGATATCGTCTTTTTAAATAATTCTTTGATTTAGTGTAGTGATACCAACTGAGATCTTCCCTGAGGTCACGTGAGGTCCCACACAAAATTTGGGCCAAATCGGTTCAGCCGTTTGGACGTTTATTGGATATAAACAAACAAACAGACAAGCCAAATTTATATATAGATACGTACATATATATATACATATATACGAATTCAAAACAATATTTGTTCTTCTTAATAGCTCTTAAACAAGATGAGTTCTAATTTTAAACATAAAAGAGTTTAATCATGCGTTCAATTTAATTTGGTTAATGTGGTAAGCAGTGGTAAAAATATTATTATGATTTGTGCTATTCTTCTTTTTAAATTGTTCACACTTACTAAAGGGAGTGACCGGCAAGACATGGTAGTTGAGCTGAGAGTGCATGATGAGGTCGATTTTGCGCTTTTACTCAACAATTATAAACTGTAAAAAGATCTTATTGATATCAAATAAATCCTTTATCTATAATACTGCACTTTCAGCTCAACTTCCATGTCTAGCCGGTCACTCCCTTTAAAACAAAAATAAAAATGGTGAATGTTATTGAATTAATTTCAACATTCATCTGCCTTTCTTTTATTTTCTAATTAACCTTATTCAGGCCTGGACCTCGGGGGCTTCCTTCTATAACTATCTAAACTCTGTAGAGACCAAAGGTGGGTATTTTAGAAGAAAAAAACATTTTGTGAAAAGATATTTGTAAAATAGATTAATTATTAAATATGACAAAAGTACTTTAAAGGGACAGTAAAGGAAAAATGAAAGGGGGTATAGGCTGAAAGCTAATCACTTTAGCTCTTGATCGCGACCCATGAAAGTCATATCTGTATACTGCTCTGCCATTGGTGATAGTTCTGGTCACGTGATTTAAGTTTCAGATTTTCAAAATTTTACATATATGAATTTTCGTATAATTTTAACACAGTTTTATATCAGTTTCTCGAGACAGGAACATCAGATATAACTTTCATGGGTCGCGACCAAGAGCTAAAGTGATTAGCTTTCAGCGTATACCCCCTTTTATTTTCCCTTTAAGTTAAGAATTAAGACTTTAAAAGATAAATATTTTTACGAGTAAAAATTTGTTCAATGTGAGATTCTTATTTTTTATTAAAACTATTCATTAATTTACTTTAACCTCAGTTCTTCATTTTTGTAGTTGTCAGATTTAAAATTAAACCGAAGAAAGTTTTGATTTGGAACGCATTAGCTTCTTTAATTAATTAATTTTAAAACTTATTTTTATACAACCTTTTCTTTGCCTTTTTAGTATACAATTTTTAGTGCAATTTTTTGTACGTATTTATAAGATAATAAAGCCAATTTAGGGCTGAAAAGTGATCATTGTTTCTAAACTGGGTCGGTGTTCGGCTAGATCTCTTCACTGCTTTATTTAAAACCCTGTTCATTTAACGTTATTCCCTTACCTTACCATTGTAAGGTTTTAGACAGAACGATTTGTCAACATGGTCATAATAGCTGACAGAGAAAGAATTTTAAACGATGTTTGCACTGCGAACGAACCACGATGTGATAGATTTCACGCTAAATCGAGGAGAAGTTTTTTGCCAATTACTCTATTTAAAATTAAGTTAGAAATAAAAACACTTTTTAATTCAAAATTTGTATGTCTAGTGCTGATATAAAGTTGCAGTGAAAGTGGTATCGTATAAAAACCAAAACTTTAAAGTCGAGGCTTTCATGAATAAGTTTCACAGTTGTCTAGACTCTAGATAGTTAGTTGTGAGTTAGTATTTCTAACAGCTGTTACCGTTAACGGGAAAAATTCTGTCCGTTTATTGAAAAAACTTGTTGTTTTTCGTTAAAGACGGACAGCCCTAGTCAATCCTGTCTGAATGAATAGTGAAAGGATGGGAAAATCAAAAAATATTTGATTTCAGGACTCAGCGTTCTATTCAACAGATAATATTTCAAATAAAGGGAAGAATTTCCTTCAAGAAATGTGATAAATATGCATAGATAGACAGTTCGCATATAAACAATATTGATTCTAAAATTCTAAGACTCCTGGACGCTTTGCGCCACTCCTTCTTGTAATAAATAATTTTTTTTAAATTTATGTCCACCTGTGCAACCTGTTTTTCGCATATTAAATAAATAATAATCTAATATTTCGCACATTTCAAAATAATTGGAAAATTCTCATCAATATTTGTGCTAGAGCTTGAAACCTTTGGATTATTGTGTTTTGAGCTCAAAATATATTATTTGTGCTAGAGCTTGAAACCTTTGGATTATTGTGTTTTGAGCTCAAAATATATTATCTGTAACAGATATTCAAAAAAAAAATTCTGGTTTATGCGCTAAATAATTTTAATTATACAAAGGAATTAAGTTTTTGTCACAAGCTCTGATTTTCTTATCCCTATATCTTTGCATTTGATTGTTGAAGACCTTAGATATTTCAAACTATGAATCATTTTAGATCAAATAATAATAGTTTGAAATATCAAAAGGTTACACCATCAGGTTGAACAAATATGGCGATTGTAAAATCATAATTTGTGGCAAAAACTCAGTTCCTTTCAATTTGAATGTTTCACGTAAAAATGTTCAATATATCTTAAATAGATCAGGTCAGGGTACATTGATTTTACACTCGAACCAGAAACCAAGCCATTGTTTTAAGTGTTCTCCAGTAAATTGTATGTAGCATAACGTAGATGAAAATATAGGGTCCTATTTGGGATTTGGAGGGGGGGGGGGGGTTGCTTAAAGATCTCTTGTTTACCTGGTTTTCTTCATATTTAAAGTCTGATTTTCTAATCCCAATCTAATCTATGCAGCCCAATGTCGGAGACCTTAGATATTTCAAACCATGATTTTTGCCATATCAAATAAATTTAAGATGTTTGCATTAAGATCAATTATTTTCGTGGCTACCTTTAGATATAGTTATATAGATAGAATATTTACAACTACAAGATTGAAATTAATTTTATTGTTATTTTTCTAAATTTGCTTGGTTTTGTTTTTGTTTGAAATTTAAATTAAATTTAAGTATACATTAACATAAACAAGAAACCTTAGAAAACATAAATTTTAATTTTAGTTTTCATTCGAACTATAATTCTAAATAATCAAATTATTCCATTTTCTTGCCGGGTCCGTATAAACTTATAAAGATATATTTTTGACATTCTTAGACATGTTAATGACATTTTTAGACATGTTTATGACATTTTTAAACATTAAACCTTATTATGATAATCTTAAACATGTTTATGACATTCTTAAACATTATTATATTAATCTTAAAAATGTTTATGACATTCATGATAATCTTAAACATATTTATGATAATCTTAAACATATTTATGAGGATCTTTAACATGTTTATGACATTCTTAAACAAGTTTATGACATTCTTTAACATGTTTATGATAATCATTAACAAGTTAATGATAATCATTAACATGTTAATGATAATATCTTAAACATGTGCATGATAATCTTAAACATATTTATGATAATCTTAAACATATTTATGATGATCTTTAACATGTTTATGACATTCTTAAACAAGTTTATGACATTCTTTAACATGTTTATGACAATCTTCAACAAGTTTATGATAATCTAAAAATGTTTAGGGTTATATTAGCATGTTTAAGATTATCTAAACATTTTTATGAAATTTTAAATAATTTTTGAAATGTTGATAGATTTTTGTGAATAGTATACTTTTAGACGAGAATTAACTATATAAACTTTTAGACGAAAATTCACTATATAAACAAATATAGAAGTAAGTATTGTGGAACTTGGACTTGGTTTATTTTACGTTGATTGAATTTTCTTTGTTTTTCTGTAAAATTTGCACTTTTTGCAAAGATAAATTGCAACTCAGTCACAGGAAGAATTTCACCTCAAATTCTGTTGTCCTAAATCTGGTTTCATAAAGACTTTAAAAACAAACACAATGTTTAAAGGGATTGTAGAACTGATATCCAGTTCACAGCGGCTGACTTTAAACCTTTAACTGTTTAAAGATTATGGAGTTAGTTTTATCCGCAAAAAAACAAGTTTGTTATTTTAACTCTTTACGCTGGTTTAGATTCAATTAACATTCATTTTCCAGAGGTCGCCGAGAAGTTCACCTTTTTAAACATATTATAAACTATATAAATTCAGTTATTTTACTGCTGCATGCATTGGTAATATACATATATAGCTATAGATAGGGGGAAATAAATTCTATATTGGATCCAGGAACAAACTCGGAGGAATTCAAAATAATGAAAAAATGAAAATTAAGTATGAAGTACTATACTCTTCAGCAAACATCAATCAGGACTTGGAAGTTAAAATCTCGTTTCTTAAAATTTAAATATACTTGTTCTTTTAGCCTTCACAGCAGAGTGAATTGATTTTTATTTTATATTCTTTACAGGGACCGTTGTAGGGACTGTAAACATAATTTTAACTTCTTTACAGGGACCTTTGTAGGGACTGTAAACATAATTTCAACTTATTTACAGGGACCTTTGTAGGGACTGTGAACATAATTTTAACTTCTTTACAAGGACCTTTGTAGGGACTGTAAACATAATTTCAACTTCTTTACAGGGACCTTTGTAGGGACTGTAAACATAATATTATCTTCTTTACATGGACCGTTGTAGGGACTGTAAACATAATTTTAACTTCTTTACAGGGACCTTTGTACGGACTGTAAACATAATTTTAATTTCTTTAGAGGGACCGTTGTAGGGACTGTAAACATAATTTTATCTTCTTTACAGAGACCTTTGTAGGGACTGTAAACATAATATTATCTTCTTTACATGGACCGTTGTAGGGACTGTAAACATAATTTTAACTTCTTTACAGGGACCTTTGTACGGACTGTAAACATAATTTTAATTTCTTTAGAGGGACCGTTGTAGGGACTGTAAACATAATTTTATCTTCTTTACAGAGACCTTTGTAGGGACTGTAAACATAATTTCAACTTCTTTACAGGGACCTTTGTAGGGACTGTAAACATAATTTCAACTTCTTTACAGGGACCGTTGTACGGACTGTAAACATAATTTTATCTTCTTTACAGGGACCTTTGTAGGGACTGTAAACATAATTTCAATTTCTTTGCAGGGACCTTTGTAGGGACTGTAAACATAATTTAAACTTCTTTACAGGGACCTTTGTAGGGACTGTAAACATAGTGACCATTTAATCATTAATTAAGTCATTTCCTGTTTCACTCGGGACCCTCAAAAGCTTTGTTTTATTACTTATGAATTAGATAATCCACGTTTTTGTTTTTTTAAACCTGTTAGTTTTATTTATACGTTCTTTGCCATTCTTGATTCCGAAACAATGGAGAAATAATCAAAATTAAACACTTTTTAAAAAAAAACCAGGAAAACACCGTTATTTTTCAAATTATTGATCAGATCAGGTTTCGTCGGGAACCATTTTGTATCATTTTGAAATTGGGGCCACTTGAAAATACGACGACAGAGGGAAAAAAATGGAAACAGTTTATAAAATCTATTTTTCCAAATTGGTCGAGTAAACCTGAGGTGAAATATATTAAATCCTCTAACTCTTCTAAATTTTCTTTAACCTCCAAATCCTTTTAGTCATCTAAATCATCTTAACCTTTATGTCCTCTTAGTCCTCCTAATCCTCCTAATCCTCTTAATCCTCTTAATCCTCCTAATCTTCCTAATCCTCTTAATCCTCTTAATCCTCTTAATCCTTCAAATCCTTTTAATCCTCTTGATGATAATTGTTTTTACCATCGAACATTTTCAATTTATTCTTTTCATAGCTTCGCATGATACACTATTAGAAATATTAGTTCATAGTATTGAACTTTCGACAACATTTCGAAACTATAACAGAATATTAGAAATATCTCACACGTTATTTTATCCCTTGTACAATCTACATTTATAAAGAAATATATAATATATAATTTATAATATATAATATATAATATATAGAAGCCTGCAAATGATTGGAGAATGGAAGGAGAAGACGGGGCTTTTATTAACAGATAAATATGCTATTATTAGTAATTCTACAGGTACAGTTTAATAAACTAAAGGTGTCCCATGTCTATATCTTTCCTCTGTATAAGAGTTACAAAATGTAAAATGAAAATTTGGCTTTCTAAATTTTCTGGAATTTTTATTGTATTAATGATTATTGGTTTAAGCCCATTAATAATATTTTTGTTACACTAGTTTAATACATAAACTTACTTATAGTTTGATATAAATTCTGGTTTTTGTTTTATTTTGAATATTTACCGCTTTTTAACCAACCTTAGTGAACGATGTTTACCCACGACAGCTGGACGTTAAGTTACTTAACATTCCTTGCAACAATTAAGTAAAAACCCTCCCGCTCTGCGAACTTTATGTAAGAAAATTTAAGTGTTTTAGGCAATCAAATTTTTGAAAATTTCCCTTGACGAAATGATCAAGTACAATTCCCTTAAACAAAAACACTTCTGCAAAATTCACGTTAACTGATAAATTGAAATACTTTATGTCTCATTGAAAAGGTTTTTAGAAGGAAAAATATGTTTTGAATTACTAAAACGTAATTTCTGAAACTAGTGGGTAAAATCAAAATCAGAGAGGCCAAGATGTCACAAAGTTGAACCAGTATTGTCGCAAACATTTGACCTTCCACTTTTTTTTAGTAGGTATCCCGCATCTTATGGTTGTAACACGAGAGGAGCCTCCATATGTGATGTTAAACTGTCCAACCTGTTCAACCAATAGGAAAACATCCTACAAACATTATTAAAGGGGTTGCATGTTTACGTTATTAAAGTAAATGTTTACCTTTATACAAACATTATTAAGGGGTTATTTACCTATATACAAACATTATTAAAGGGGTTGTTTACCTATATACAAACATTTTTAAAGGGGTCGTTTACCTATATACAAACATTATTAAAGGGGTTGTTTACCTATATACAAACCTTATTAAATATATACAAACATTATTAAAGTGGTTGTTACCTATATACAAACATTATTAAAGGTTTTTTTTTTACCTATATACAAACATTATTAAAGGGGTTGTTTGCCTTTATACAAACATTATTAAAAGGGTTGTTTACCTTTATACAAACATTATTAAAGTGGTTGTTTACCTATATAAAAACATTATTAAAGGGGTTTTTTACCTATATACAAACATTATTAAAGGGGTTGTTTACCTATAAACAAACATTATTAAACAGGTTGTTTACCTTTATACAAACATTATTAAAGTGGTTGTTTACCTATATACAAACATTATTAAAGGGGTTGTTTACCTATATACAAACATTATTAAAGGGGTTGTTTACCTATATACAAACATTATTAAGTGGTTGTTTACCTATATACAAACATTATTAGAGGAGTTGTTTACCTATATACTAATATTATTAAAGTGGTTGTTTACCTATATACAAACATTATTAAAGGGGTTGTTTACCTATATACAAACATTATTAAAAGGGTTGTTTACCTATACACAAACATTATTAAAGGGGTTGTTTACCTATATACAAACATTATTAAAGGGATTTTTTACCTATATACAAACATTATTAAAGGGGTTGTTTACCTATATACAAACATTATTAAAGGGGTTGTTTACCTCTTTCTAAAACTACTTTATAATTACTTTTCGAAGATAAGACTTAAACGAGAAAAAATATAATAATAAAAAAATAGAATGCCAAAGGAAATATCGCAAAAGAATTAAATTTCATTCCATTTCAATCAGTTTAGACTGCTGATTTACAAAGAACACATGTTATGCGTTAAAGTACATCAAAGGTTTGTTCGCGCCTTGCTGGATTTAAATTTTCATTAATTTCCATCTTTTAGGCTGAGACATCATTCCTTGTGTCCAAATTACTGTAACTCCATCTACAGTAAAAACGACATTATAGATAAATGATTTTTCTAACTTTATTAACCAAAAACGCGATGGAAATTTTCACTTTATGTTTTGATCATTTTCTGTGATGTGGTAAACTCCCAAAAATCCCAAATCTAAAAAAATATCGTCAATGGCATTTCAATTCTATAATTCTTAGTTTGTTGTTGGGTTAAGATATACTGGATTCTGTATTGATTTACTGGAAGAAATAAGCAAGGTGAATAATTGGAATAATTCATGTTAGACAATTTTACAAGAGTTCTTACTTTTTCTGCAGTGTGATGTAAGTAAAGTAAGTAAATATGTATTGATAAAATATAACAAAACATACATAATTAAGTGTTTCAGGAGAAAATATTTAAAAACCTTCAAAGATTGCTGGTTGTGGGGATATTTCCCCCAATGCTAAAAAAAAAAGAAAAAAAAGGCAAGGAAAAGGAGAGTTACATATTTTTTGCTTACATTACATGTTTATAGAACTGGTGGTGGATTGTTAAGTGTTATGCGAATAAAAAATCAATTTTGGTGACAAATTGAGAAATGAAAGGCCATGAAAAAACATGTATCTACAGGTTTACTCAAAAAGAATACAACTTTAATAGCGACCTATACTACTTGATAAATACACGCTTGATAAAGGAGATTTTGATTCTCTATCAAAAATTGTTATTTGACACCCTGAAGTACGTTTTATTCAAAATCGAAATGAAATGTTTTATTTAAAGTGAAACTACAGTTAAAGAAAATATGAAACAAGGCTGCCTAATATGCACCACTTCTTTTACCAGTTTAAAATTATACAAATGTGACAAATCAAGCCATAGATTTCAAAGAATGCTGCATAATATGCACCACTTCTAATGGTGACATGGAAACGCCTCAACACGGAAACGACTCAACGCGGAAACGGATCAAAAATTATTTTTGAGGCATTACCGTTTTTTTTTAGAAATTCGAGGAAATCCCTCAAAAGTTCAGAATTGTTGAGGGATTTCCTGTTTTCTGGTTATCGCTGTTCAAAGTTGAATAAAAACTATATTGATATAAAGGAGTGGAATGGAATAGTGCGGGAACTAATTGACCGGAAAGCTGATATTGCAGTAGCGTCCATGACCATCAACTTTGCCAGGTTAGTAATTAGTAAACAAATAATAAAAAACCAAATCCGGCGGTGAATAAATGGCAGTACGATTGTACAGAATTAAATTAATAACTGTCCTCAGGGACAGTTTAATCACTTAACATCCTGCTGTTTTTCTTAATCACAGGTCGGTAATGTTGGGCGAAAGACAATAACAATAACTAGCTGGGGTACCCTTGTAATTTGTAAAAAAAAATCTAATCTAAAAAAACTAAAATTTGAATTTTGAAAAAAAAATCTAATTTTATGGATCTTTTCCCCCCGGGTACCCTTGGGCCGTAGGTTTCCTGAAAAAAAATTCAGTCCATTCCGTCTAGCCGTTTGGCTAGCTATAGCTCACATATATATTATATTATATACAAATATACAAATAGATAAACATGAGCGAAGAGCTTTATTACATAGATTTACTTCTAAATATTGTACACAATTATATGAGATGAAAATGTGCGAATTTTGCCACAAAATTTCTCAAAGCGAGAGGTTATTTTACTAAATTGTCCTAAGAGACGTAAAGAACGTAATTTCCTTCTGTTGGGGAAATCATAGGTCAGTTATGTATACTTTATACTATATAGTGTATACTATATACAGTGGAACGGCGTTTTCTTTAAAGAATAAAAATTGGCCTTCATATGGCAGAGATACATAAACCTTTAAACAAATAAACTCCGACCATTTACAAATTTTATTAAGAGAGCATGTGATAGATTTTACGAAACCATTCATGAATCTGGGAATATCTATTCTATTCAAGAAACCAGAAGTTAGGCCTGCACAACTCTTTAGGTAAACAAATTAACAACGTAAAATTTTATGTTTTTTCACTGGGGGATTTTATAAAATTCAAATAAATCCAAACTTTTTGAAAATAATTATTTTATTTCGCTTCTGCAAGTCCTGGACGTTTATTGAAAATAAAACTTGAAACCAACTGGTTGACAATAAAGCGAAATTTTATGAATTCTTTAGATCATCGATAGAGATGGGTGCGTTCGGCTTTCTTTCATTTTCTTAGTTTATTGTTTGTGAACGACCCATTTTGTATTTTTTAATCGTTCAAAAAATTGAGTTCGTTGATTCTCAAAATTATAGATCATATTCCATCTATTTAAATAATGAATTATATCATTTAATTTTTTTGTTGATTAAGATTTAAATTGTTGAAGCAACTATCGATGTCAACACGGACACTAGCTATTAATCGATAAATGCCAACCCACTGGGCACAATCTCATAAGCTATCGATTTCAACCGGACACTAGCTCATACTGTATAATCAATGCCAAACCAATTGGCGCGATCTTAGCTAGTATGTTTCAACGAGAACCCGCTTACTCTCTCGGAAGCAATCAAATCAGAGTCTCTACATCAAATTATGTATTTGAGATGTATATGTTATAAGTTAAAGTTAATAGACGTAATTATAATTTCTACGTCGCTATAGATATCACACTAAGCTAAGACAATCATGTCACGAATTTACAGCACAGTTAAAATATGCAACTAAGATGTACGTCATTATATATATCACATGATCCAGCTAATCATGCTACGTATTCATTTGAAGCGCAGTTAAAATGAATAATGGGTACGTAGAAGCTTACAAACATATATAATGTACATCGTAGTTCAGGTTTACAGAATATCGTGTTACCTGATATTTATTACATGTGTTGAATAATACAAAATAAGATTCTAATAATGAAGCATTGTAATTATTTGAAGGCCACTTTGCATTTACAATTGCACAAACATTTACTTTACTTGTCAAGCATAGAAAATATCCGGAGAATATGAGCTAACCAGATCATCTTCTAAAAATGTTTCGAAGTTAAAGAATTAAAATAATTTTTTTCCAAAACTCAAAAAGGAAAGAATTATCATGGTTTTCAACTAAACAATGGATTATCATTTACTAATTTACTAATTTACTAATTTACTAATTTACTGGGTGTTTTAGGTTCTCTCCACATGAGTGGGCAAACCCCCATCCTTGTCTAGATACAGGTAGTTCTTGTCTAGATACAGGTAGTTCTTGTCTAGATACAGGTAGTTCTTGTCTAGATACAGGTAGTTCTTGTCTAGATACAGGTAGTTCTTGTCTAGATACAGGTAGTTCTTGTCTAGATACAGGTAGTTATTGTAAAGATACAGGTAGTTGTTGTTGTGAATCCTTTTAAATTCTTTGTACAAATTTTAAGTTTTTTGAACTTAAAAAATGTTCAACAAAATTTTGAGAAGTTTTCGAAATTTGAAAAAAAATATTTTCAAACATTTACACTTCTTACACCTGTAAAATTTTAATCCTGAGAGAAGAATTTTGTAGGAACGGACTAGATAACGGACAAAAATAAAAAACCACGAATGTTAATAGATGATTAAAGTTTTAAATATCAACGGTTTACAGTTACACCATCAGTGGCCGAATTTAAAGAATTTGAGCGGCGGTTTGAATTTAAGCCGCGGTTTAAATATGGTTGGTTCCATTAAAAATTGTATCAAATGTTTCAAGATTTAAGCCGGCGCTTAATTTAAACCGGGTTTTGGCGGATTTAAACCGCGGCTCAAATTCTTTAAATTCGGCCACAGGTTGCACAGATAAAAGGATCAGAAAATTGGAGTTTGTGGCAAAGAATTATTGTTTCTGACTCGGTTGTTGGATATAAAACTTCAATTTTCCTTGACAAAAATAGAAAATTAAAAACATTAATTTTGAATAGAACTCTATTTGTTAACAAATTTATTTTCTGAAAAAAATGATTTAATTCAGGTTTTGTTGTTCAGAATGATTTCACTCTCCCCAACAGTTTCTGGTTTGCAGTAGGTAATTCCAAAATTTTATTTTCAAAAAAAAGATTTGTCAAAAATGTTTGTTTAAGGTACTCTAATGCAGCAAGGTTCAGATTTGAATCCTCGAGCCGCCTCCACTAGGTAGAAAACAGTTTTTAAACAGGATGGTGGGCCAAAAAAAAAATTTAATTTTTAAATTTTATCTCTGCTAAAAATTTATGATCGAATAGTGAAAACTAGAGCCTTCGATCATTCTCTATTAAGTGAATTAAGTAGGTTGAAATAAAATACAAATGGTTAAATAAATTCTATTTAGTTAAAATAAAAAAAACTGAAGAGTGCTTAAAAGTTATATTTTTCAAATCGGCGTAGTGAGCTAGCTGTTTATTCTTTAAGAAGGTATTCAAAATGGCCTAAAAATGTGAGTGTAACATTAACGCACGCGGATGACTTAACAAATATTTCTCGAAAATCCTGAATATTTTCTGTCCAACCAGGTTATTATTTGTTCAGGCTTTTGTAAAGTAAATGATAATATTTATTAAATATGGCACAGCTTGAAAACAATGTTATCAACAGTTACAAGCGTTTCTGTAGCGCAATAAGTCCGTAATCCTTGGTTTAAAGGGTATACTGTTCTCTTATCAATTGGACACGCAACTTGGCACTTGAAATTATATCTACAGTCCCTTTAATACAAATAATTATTTATCAGGATAATCGGAGGAATCTGGTGGTTCTTCTCTTTAATAATTATCAGTTCATACACTGCTAACCTGGCAGCTTTCCTTACAGTAGAGAGGATGGCAACTCCTATAGGTAATTCAATACCACACTATATATAGATANTCCATTTTGGAAGTGGAAATTTGTTCTCAACTTGAAATTCCGGGAAAAAATCCAGTTTTCATTTCCTGACCGGAAAACTTCTGGTTTCTATTCCGAAATTCCTGGATTCCGGAAGAAAAAAAAAGCATTGTAATGTGGGAGTAATACCTATTACGTTCAGTTTTATGCCAAAATAATTTAAAGATTATGATTCAATCAACGTCAGTTAAACAATTTAAGGTTGACTTTAAAAAAATGTTATTTCAGAAAATGCCGAAGATTTAGCGGATCAGTCGACAATCTATTTTGGAACTTTAAAGGGTGGATCTACAATGACTTTCTTCAGAGATTCAAATATTGAAACATATCAGAAAATGTGGAGGTAATACAAATTATGATAAAATAAATGTTCAAATAGTTTAAAAATATGTTTAAGGTATATGGAGAGCAAAGAACCTTCAGTGTTTACAGCAACCTATAAGGAAATCATTGTCAATTTCAATGTTTTTTAACTTTTTCGGAATTCTTGAAATATTTGTCACTATATATTGCCGAGGTTTATATTATTATTCGTATTTATTTCTACCGTATAAACCAGCGCTTGGTATTAACCCTATTCCTCCTGTGGGGAGGGGTTGAGAAGGTCTAGTTGCCCCCCCCCCCATGTTTTTTTATATTGCTTAAAAACCATAAGGTTTAAAGAGCTGAAATTTCTTGACCTTTTCTAAATTTATTTTTCCCTGCGTTGCCTGAGGAATTTTATAAAATTTTCCCGTCAAAAATGTTCGCCATTTTGGTCCAGCCATGTGACCAGCTTTATCAAGCATCTATATATAAATACATATACATATGAGCGAAGAACTTTATTACATAGATTATTTTATACGACAATTTTAACTAATATTTTCAGAATTTAAATTGTCCCAATGATATTTCATGAAAATCTTAAATTGATTTTGCTTTGTTACTAGGAAGGAGTGGAACGTGTTAAAAAGGTTCTAAAGATTTTATTCTTTCAAAAATCATGCAAAAAGTTTGAAACATTATATTTTAACACTTAAGAAAATAAATAAAAATATCAATATATACTAAATCTAAACAAACAAAAAAAATTAACATTAAAGATGTTAGATAAATAAAATATATCGTGAATCGAAAAATGAATCTTAAATCTATTTTAGGGCAACTATGCGTTCCTTTGTGAATCTGCAATGCTAGGAAAAGTTTCATTGTTTTCTTTTTAATTTATTTGATTTTTATTTGTGGAATCACTTTTGGATTTTAGGGGAATATACACTATACAGTATACAGGGTTACACACAAAGGATGAGACTTCAGAGACAATTATACGAAATTATACGAAGTCTGTATTCTTGCATTCAGGGTTCCTCAATAGGCCAAAACTGGCTTATTTTTCTCAATTTAATGCAGAAACCAAAAATCAAGATTCAAATTGTCATATTTTTAGAGTTTTTGGTCGTCTTTATTGTCTCATCTTTTGTGGGTAACCCTGTATATAATGTTTATTTGTATTATATTATTTTAAAACAATATTTTTAAAACTACAAATTGTCTTTTTTTTTCTAAAAATAATTAATCTTTTTCAAAGATTATTTTGTGCAGCGGGACTGCAATTTAACCCAGGTAAGTCATTTTACCGCCTTTGAACCAACATTACCGACCGACATTCCCTTAATAGAGGGACGTTAAGTTACTTTACGTCCCTTGGGACAATTAACTAAATTAATCACCCGCTCTGCAAACTTTTCATGAAAAAATTCGCACATTTGCTTGCATCTCTAAAGATGAAAAAACTGTATACAATTACTTTTTCGTGAAATTAAAAGTTTTACGTAACCACATGTTCCCTCGACCAATTTTGCATACAAAACTTCCCTCGCTACGCTCTTAATGTTTTGGGAACCCTTGAGTAAAGAAATTAAGTTCCCTGAAAAGTAGTTGTAAATAATTATAACTTTAAATTTAAATATAATTTAAATAGTTTACTTTTTCAGATTGGTGGACTTATTGACTCCAAGGGTTACGGAATAGCAACACCAAAGGCAAGAAAAGATAAATAAAGATATTTTAGAAGTACGTTTATTGCTTCTAGAAGTAAGTAAATGATAAATAACGAGTGTATAATAGGAGAGGAAGATGAGCAGGTTTTATTATCCGTTTTCGGGGATTTTATCCTCTACAGAAGTCCCTCTATCTCGAGCATAGAGGGAGTCGAGACTGATACTTATCTCCTTGTAAGTGTTTACGGAAAAGGAATAGAAGGAGTTTTGATGATGATTGATCCATGATTGATCATTATTCCCGAATAGATGTTTGTGAATTTCTGATATGCCCCCTCCCCACGTCATGATTAAACTTGAGTAAGGCTGGCCACTTAAAGAGATCAGTAGTAGTGAAGGCTAGGTGGGCATATATTCAACCTGTAGAGAACTGGATGGCGTCCAGAATATCTACGAGTAGCTGAGTTGCTTGATAGATCCAAAAGTAGCTGTTAAGCTGATTAGCTCCCGGAGTTGCTCTGTAGCTAAGTAGCTCCAAGTGTAGCTGGCTGTGCAGCTGATTAGCTTCTGAAGAAGCTGGAGTTTAGCTTATTAGCTACTGAAGGATTGAATAGCTGAGGTTTAGCTCATTAGCTCCAGAGGTAGCTGGGGGTTAGCTTATTAGCTCCAGAGGAGTTGCTAAGGTTTAGTTTATTAGCTCCAGGAGTAGCTGATTGTAGGATGAAGGAATAGTGAATTTGTGATTAAAATATTAAAGGTTGAGATTGTCCTCCTCGTCCAATTCTTGAGAAGTACATGGATTTCATCCTCTACAATATTCACGTTTTTTTTAACAATTTCTGTAAAAGGGGGTGGGTAGTTAGTTTTTTGAGAATTGAAAAATTACATTATTCTGCATTTATTATATCTTAGACGGGTTCACGTTGGCGTGATAAAATTTCTCAAGCAATTCTACTTTTACACGAGAAAAGTGTTATGCAGGTATTATTCAGAAACACCCTCTTAGCATTATTAACAAAGAAATAGCAAAAATAACAGCGCTTAGTTGTTGTTTTCAAGAGGCCATTTTTCTTGGAAATTATAAAACTCTAAATTTTGCAATTTTTCTGTAAACAAATTGAACGATGAAGAAAATTAGAAATACCGATTACACCTTAACTAGGGTCTTGTGCGTTGCCACAAAAAATCTTTGGCCCAATTTGTTCAGCCGTTTTTATGTTTATTGGATACAGACAGACACACAAACTAGCCTAATTTTATATACAGGGATACCCACAAAGGATGAGACTGTAAAGACGACCTAAAACTCATAAAATATGACAATTACTAGGTTAAATTAAGTCTTTTGTCTTGAATATAGTCTTTTAATGTCCTATTTATTGATTTGGAAACGAAAGAAATCAGTTTAAAGTGGCAGAGAATCCAAAAAATAAGGAAATAGACAGTTTACATTATGTACAGTCGTCTCTGAAGTCTCATCCTTTGTGGTTGACCCTGTAGAAGCTCAGCCGATATAATATGAAAGCTTTTACTATGCAGTCCATGCACTCTGCAGACAAGGGAGCCTATTCAGAAAGAAGTGGGACTGTTGGGCCTGTTGGGGCTAAACTTTTTCTTGTATGAGACAACGCTATTTTTCCACCTGGGGGGGGGGGGGGTATTTGGCCCCCTCGACAAATTCCAGTATATTGCAGACCTAATCCCTGCATAAATTACATGAATTTTCAGATGCTGTACGACAAATGGTGGAAACTTGAGGAAAAATATGTTTTCTTTATAATTATGAATCTTAAAGGAATTGTGGACGTACATCAGGTGATCCTCAATATGTATTGTAGACTACCATGTACGATTCACGACGGTACTGGTTTGGTCATGGATGAATGAGATATTGCAGTTTTTCTTGCAAATAGTGGATTTTTTTCTTTAGTTAAAGTTATACTAGCTGATTTAAGCAACTGAGACAATTTAGAAAATGGTTAGAACTCAAAACTTTTCAAGATAAAAACGACAAAGAAACTAATTTCCTCATTGCAATATGTACACATACAAAGTTTAAAAGGTACCACCGTGAATATGGAGATGCCACTCTATAAATGGATGGCCACTGAACAAGTTCTCTAAATTTTTTTAACGATACTAAAATTTTAAGAAAATCCTGAAACAAAAATAATTGAATTTTAAAACATGTTTTTAAACCTCAAGTTGGATGAAGGATTAGGACAAAGATTAGTTTGTCCAAACGTTGATCCAGGTCTCAACAAAGCATCAGCACTTAATGTCGTTAATATAGGAAACCATCTTTTTACAAGCAAAGAATGAGAAAAGCTGAACTTGCTTCTACAGACCGTCCCATATCATATTAGATTTTCTTAAAGCTCTACCGCCAAAATGTGCACATAATATACTCAAAAAACCTGGCATTTTCTGCAAGAAAAAAAAGAATTTAAAAAAAGCAAAAATATCGCGAAAATATTTTTCGCTTTTTTTCATTTTTGCGAAAAAGTTAGCGAAATGCGAACAAACATTTTGGATTTTTTCGCGAAACTTTTCGTTCGCTGCGAACCCCTGCGTCAGATCTGGTTTTTATTTTGCTCACAGAATAACCAGATACGTAAAGCATTGTTTAGATTTAAATTTATTTTTTAATAAACAGCAATACTGTCTGAAAAAAACGTTTTTTTTTACTTTTAAATTTTTCTTTGAATTGCTAAAACTGATGGGATGAAGGTGGAGTTTTTGTTGTTCTACTCTGTGGTCTCTCCTTCGCTATACTGGTCGCTATTGTAGAGTTCCTCGTTAAATCTAGGTAAAAAAAACCAGAGCTGTATCTGAAGGGGGGGGGGGGGGGGGCAAATAGATTTTTATATTAAAAGTAATTGAGTCTTTGCCACAAAATATAATTTTCTAATCCCATATTTCTTTGCAATCCAATTTCTTTTCTTTAAAATAATCAAAATTCTATAGATTTCAAAAACAGAATTTATATCATAATATATTTCTGACCATACAGGGTTATTTACAAAACATGAGGCTTCAGAGGACGACTGTATGAAATTTCTTACGTCCTTTTTCTTAGGTCGATTGTTTGCTTTAGCTTTAAACTTTAAGCATTTTTGTCTAATCACAAATTAAACTAATAAAAAACAATTTCTATGACAAAACCTTAGACGTCAGAATAAAAATATTATTCTTTGTGGGTAACCCTCTATATACAAGTTTCCCTAATAAAATAATGCAGTTGCACTTCTATTAAAAACGCCCTAACACATTTTACTATCATATAAACTTTAACTTTAAAAAACATTGCAATGGATTATTAAGATCAATTTAGTCCAATTAATTAGTTCAAATTTGGTCAAACTCAAATTAAAATTAAAAATTAAATGTCCCAAGATAGAACATGTTAATGATTTCTTTTTTTCTCAGGGATCTGAAGGACCAAAAATTAAAAACAAGATTTTTTTCGTAAACTAGAAACTAATTTTTGATGTTAGTAAATAAATTGTTAAACTCTTTTATTGTTTGTTTAGTTCTCACTAAAGGAACCGAATTTTCTAATTACTATATCTTTGCAACCCGATGTTGTACAGTGTCCACTTTTTATATTTTAAACATCGACTATTTTATCCAACAGAATTCTTTGATTGAAATATCAAAGGTTTAAATTAAATCGGGTACGTATTGCAAAGATATAGATATGAAATATTCAACGTTTGTGCAGCACTAACAGTTAAACAGACTAGTAAGAAACAAAGGAAAACTATGACGACCTCAAATCTTTAGATTGACTGCGTACAGAAAGTTCAGTTTTCATGCTGTTAAAATGTAAAAACACCAGTTTTTTCTCCAAAGTGTTCTAAATTATGCAGCGCATGCCTTAAGTATTCTGTATCTGCAAAAGAATCGAAGAAAGCAAAGACGACTTTACAAAGAAAAGAATAAAAAGATTAAAAAGAGTAAAAGATACAATCAAACATAAAGGATGTCAAAAAACGGCTCGAATTAAAAAGATGCTTAAAAATGCCCGTTTTTCATATAACCTATATCTCTTTCATACTCCATACAGCTTTTTTTACTTTTTTTAACATTACAAATAAATTTTTAATTTTTATGTCTAAAAGTTGTTAGTTCATCGTCAAAAAATACTAACAATCCACCACTAGTTTATATTAAATATAGTGTAAACAATAAATATGTAACCTTCCTTATCCTTTCCTTTTCCTTTTAATTCTAGTTTTGTGTTTTTTTAGAATTGGGGGTAAATATTCCCACAACCTCTACTCCTAGAGGTTTTCAAATATTTTCTCCTGAAACACTTACTTTTGTATGTTTTTATTATATTTCATAAATAAATAATTTTTTACTTTACTTTTACACCGTATTTATAACATTTCAGTTGCATGCATGGATACCTTCAAAAATCTAAATATTGAGAAAGGTTTCGTAAATGAACGACATTTCTAGAAAATTAAAGCAAAATTCTGTTAACGAAAAGGAAAAATGTTTTGATAAAGTTCAACCCAGAACTTTGGAAACACTGAAAGAATTTATAAAATGTTGTTTTCTAAACCTACTGATCATGGAATACTGCAAATATCAATTTTTTAATTGAATAATAGAGGGTGTCTCACTAAACATGACAGTTGGTGAATAGTTTAGGATGTCTTTTTCCATAATAGTGATCAGTTGTGTGTTACCAAAGATCAATAAAAATATTATATGGAAGTCATATCATATCAAAATTGATTTCAAAGTAAAATATAATTAAGCAAAAGATTTGTTTAACTAAAAATAGCTATTTATTAAATGTCATGTTTCGTGGGACACCCTGTATTTAAAACTGTTCCTGTTTCCCATTTATTTCATATTCATAATTTTTACATTTCTGAGATTCGGGTATGATACATATGTCATAGATATACAAGAATATATATCTATTGTATATCTATCTATAAGGTATAAAAAGTTGTCAAGACGACATTTCTGCTAGTTTTGTTTGAAGGAGAGAAAGTAGCACTTATAAGGTATACGTAATCATGGACTGTATATGTACCTTTAAAGTATTAAAGAAGCCAAATGTTTTGAATTTACAGTTCAAATTTTGCCCCCCCCCCCTAAGAGCTCCTAGAGGGGGGCCCCCTCCCCCCTAGATTTAATTTTGAAGAGTATACACCCTTGCTTTCTTTAAGTTAAAAAAGAGAAAATAGTTAGAAATTATGCGCGCAGCGTCGTAGAAAAATGTTGGTACGTTGGTAGGAGATTATATCAATACAATGAAGACGACTTTTTATTTTTATTTTTATTTTTAACAAGCTGATAAACAGCACGAATACACATAAACAGAAGTCAAGAGAAAATGTCAATCATAAAATCTTCTCCATGATTGCTTCAAAACAATCAAAACTTGAATAAAGAAGTCGTTTTCATTGTATTGATATATGGTAATCGCCTTGCACTGTATTTTTTCTAAATTGGCAAAAACTTGATAAAAGATGGTCCACAATCAATCATGATAGAGTCTAGAAAGGGCGAAATATGTTAAGCCCCCTCCTTAAGTTAAAGTGTGTCCCACGAAATATGACATTTATTAAATCGTTATTTTTAGTTAAAACATCCTTTTGCTTATACATTATCTTTTACTTTGAAATCAATTTTAATAAAACATGACTCCCATATAATATTTTTATTGATCTTTGTTACCAAACAACTCAACAAATTATGGAAAAAGACATTTTAAACTATTCACCAACGGTCATGTTTCGTGGGACACCCTATCCTGTACATTCCTGAACATTAGTTTAAGATCATTAGAGGAATTAGAGGAATTAGAGTGCTCGGTAATGTTACATCTGCAATACGCAACATCCCTCCTACTGAACATCCGACCTACTGCAATATCGAACCTACGCCAGCTGTTTATTTTTGTATTATTTGAGAGTTAGGTCAGGTTAAGACAATTTCCGGGCCGAGCCCTGCGGCTAGGACAGGCAAGGGGCCGAGCGCCGCGGCTGACAGGCTAGGGGGCCGGGCGCTGCGGCCACAAGTCTATAAAGCAGCTGTAAAACTACTTGTTAGTAGGTAGGATGTGTAGTATAGCGGATTTGGTGAAGGTCAGAAGTGGAGTATAGCGGATTTGCGTAGGTCTAAAAATACACCACCATTATTTCAATTTAATCTTTAACGAAGACGACATTTTAATTTTCATCATTTTCCAAACCAAATAATTTCACCGGTGACTGGAATGACTCGAAATTTGATTTTAAGAAAAAGTCATTCTCATTTGTTACTGTTATCAATTTCGTGTTTAAAACTAAAATTAAAACATAGATTCTTACGTTTAAGACATTTAAGTGCTCGAAGTGCCTAAAATCGTTTTACGTTTTGTTTACGTACGAAATATGCGACTCAACTATTACACATCGCGGCCTGATAAATAAATTTCATTGTTTGTTAATTTTTCAGCAGTTTTACGATGTTCCGTAATCAATATGACGGTGATGTTACCATCTGGAGTCCACAGGGTAGATTATATCAGGTAATCTGTAAATATTCAAATATGATCATAATCTTTTCTCAGCAAAAGCTTCTCGTACCCTATCCTATCTCTAATTTTACTATTATTATTATTAAAATCGTTCACTAGGACAGACCCTTACTTTATCTACCCCCCCCCCCCTCTTAAAATAATGGTTCTCTATATATTTTTTAAGATAGTACTTAAGAGAAAACTCTTTTGACGTTTAAAACTCTCAGAGTTAATTAATTTCCTTTAGAACGCTTTATTAGACAAACCCCCCGGCCTCTAGCCCCGGCGCTCGTCCTTGAAAATGTCTTAACCCATCCTATCCCTGAAACAATACAATACACATAAAAATTAGTAACAAATATTGATCATACACAAAATTGATAGGAGGGGGTCAGGACAGACCCAACCCTCGTCTATTGGTGTATTTTGTTTATGATCATTACGTGTTGAGATTATACAATCGGTCATAATTGAAACAAATAAGTTGGAGAAACAGAACCTTTAATTTTAGTATTGAGAATTTATTGAACAAACTCACTAATTTTCATGTAGCTATCAAAAAGGGAGAGGGCTCAAATTTTCCGGGTCCGTCCTAGTATACGATTTTTGAACCCCTCCTATTAATTTTGTACATGACCACTTATTTTTCAGCATATTTATTATTATTAATTTTTTTATTATTTAGGGTTAGGTTAGGTTAAGACACTTTCTGGGAAGCGCTAGGATAGATTAGGGGGCCGAGCGCTGCGGCCACGGGTTAGGTCAAGTTATGACGCTTTCTTTTATTTAGGGTTAGGTTAGGTTAAGACACTTTCTAGACCGAGCGCTGCGGCTAGGACAGGCTAGGGGGCCGAGCGTTGCGGCCACATTTCTTACATTAAAGATCCTATTACATTTAAATTTAAGATTCATGTACAAAATTGAAATGAGGGGGGGGGGTCCAAAATTGTATACTAGGAAATTACAAATTTTCCGCCTTTTGTTAATGTGCCAAATAATGCAAACCTCCAAAGTCAATTCTCCCCAACCCCATTTCCCCAAGTCTTGGGCCCTTGATCTTTGTTAATGTTTTTGTTGCACTCAGGAAAGGAGATTGGGGAGGAACTTTATTCACCCCTGTCAATATTTACAAGATAAGTTTGTTCCGGATCCAGTTCTTCCCCGGGGATGGAGCCAATTCAAAACAAAATAAATTTTATATTTAGTGTACATTAGTGTTGACTGTTCTAGGTTGAGTACGCTATGGAGGCTGTGAAACAAGGGTCAGCTACAGTCGGGCTTAAGAGTAAGACTCACGCTGTCCTAGTTGCGCTTAAGCGCGCCAGCTCAGAGCTCTCTGCGCATCAGAAGAAAATCCTTCCTCTGGACGACCATGTTGGTATTGCTATTGCTGGTCTCACAGCTGATGCAAGATCAATGTCTAAGTAAGGAACATGATGACAGTACAGTCACAATATTGTCCTTCTCTTTATTCCAAGAATCAAATACTTCTGTTTATCAATTTTAAATTCATGGTAGTAATATTGATTTTAACATTAATTAAAATTATTTTTGAAATAAATAAGGTTTGTTCTAGTTGCTATTTCATGTTATTTGATTATGCGTGAGAAAATGATTTAGATATTGGTTACCGATTGATTAGATGATTGATTGATTGATTATTTCATTGTTTGATAGAGGATTAATTGATTGATTATATCATTGTTTAATTGAAGATTTATTAATTTATGTTCTCAATTAAACAGATGAAAGATTGATTATATTTTTGTTTAATTTGAACGAAGATTGATTGACTGTGTTCTGAATCGATTATACGATTGAGTGATTATGTTATGTTTGATTGGAAAGAAGATTGATTGACTAACTAGTGGTGTGCTTTATTGATCAGATGATTAATTGATTATATTATTGTCTTTTAGAAGACTAATAAGTGTTTTGAATTGATTAGATGCTTGATTTATGATATTTTTGTTTCAACGTTTAATTAGATAATTGATTGATTATATCATTGTTTGATTGGAAAGAAGATTGTTTGACTGTTTTCTTAATCTATTACATAATTGGTTAATTATATTATTTCTTGATTATTTGATTGAAGATTGATCAACATATTCGTGTTCTACATTGATTAGATAGTTGATTGATTATATTATGTAATTAGATGGATGCGGGCGGAGTGTTTGAATAACCGGTATTCTCACGACTCTGCACTTCCAGTCTCCAGGTACAAGAAAGATGATTTTCTGCAGGCCAAATTTCCTGAGAAAACTACGTTTTTTCTTTATAGCAAATGAAAAAAAAATGAATATAATTTAAACTAGAATAAAAAAAGGCGAAAAAATGAAAATATACAAACACCGTTTTCTTATTTCTGTTATTTCATAAATTATTTTTAAAAAAAGGCAACACATCTGAAACGTTGTATAAGTCTCTTAAGATATTTACTATCAAAAGCAGTTTTATATTCTGCCACTTCTAGAATGTGAATATTAATATTTTTAAAGTATGAAACAGCTTCCGAACAAAGTATTCACAATTAAAATCATTTCTGTAGATTAATGAGGATAAGCCACTTGATACACGGAGGATCACTTTAAATTTCGCCTACAGTCTCTTAATATAACCAGAACAACCCCTTTCAGGTTGATAGGAGATCTGGGGAACAAGATGCAGCTGTGCACCCAGAGGTACGGGAAGCGCCCCTATGGTGTAGGACTGTTGGTTGCTGGATATGATGATAAAGGACCTCACATCTTCCAGACATGTCCTTCTGCTAACTATTATGGTAATTTTAGTTTCAAGATTTTGTGTATTTTGTTAGGGATTTCTAGGGGGGAATTTCTAAGTTCAGTTCAGACTTTACCTACGTCAACAAATTGTCCACTGCGTTCTTTTCACACAGGGTCACTTGTAATTACGCTTGCAGTCACTCGGTATGAAAGGGTATCTCTAACTTTCTGTACCATTTTATGTTAATATCTGTATAATATATATCTAGATTGTCGAGCTATGGCTATAGGAGCCAGGTCCCAGGCTGCTAGAACCTACCTGGAGAGGTTTCTAGATGATCTCGGAGACTGTGAACTAGAGGAGCTGGTTAAACACGGTCTCAGGGCCCTCAGAGATACATTACCCAACGAGGTAAACCGATACAATCAACAAGGGTGAATATATTTTCTTGAAAAATCGCTCTATTATTTTGGAAAAAGTAAATAGATCATTTTGTGGAGGAGTAAAAACTTCTTTAAAACTTTCTTTCTGCCTTACCGTAGAATACAAACTTTTGTTCATAAGTGCATAATTGATTAACGGAAACGTATAAGAAAGTATTTTTTGAGAATATTTGTTTTAAAAAACAGATTGAAAAAGAAGAGAAAAATGTTATGAACAAAATCTGAACTTAAAAAGATTAAAAAGATAACAAAATTATTCAGTCAATTCAGTCCTGACGTTTGGTCAGCCATAGCTAACATATATATATATATATATATATATATACATATATGTGTGCGAAGAGCTTTATTATATAGAAAATATTTGGTTTTGATTAAAGTTTTTCCATGTCTAAACTGTTTTGATCAGGTTGATCTGACGAACAAGAACGTGAGTGTTGCAGTTGTTGGAAAGGATCAGGTGTTTACTATTTACGATGACGCGCTTGTCGATCCATTCCTCGCCGGGATAGAAGGAGAGGAGAGACGAGGACATAGGTAATAATAATCAGAATTTCAACTGGCCCGTTTAAAAATGGGGGGGATTATAAAAATGTTGTCAAACTATTGTCTCCGTTTACCCCCATTTTGAATCCCTCCCCCCTGTAATCTGTTAATATTATAGAATTTTCATGGATTTTTAACATTGGCATTAATTCCAGAGCTGCAGCCGCTGATGAAGCTGATGAACCTGCTGCTCCTGAAGGAGAGGAGGGAGAAGCTGCTCCTCAGGAGGGTATGGATACAGACTAGAGCAGAGCAGCAAATTCAAACAGAAAAGCTCGCCGGAATGATCAAGATTTTTAAACTATCCTTTTTAAATGTAAAAATAATCCTGTGATTGGAAATTTCAGAACGAGTCTTGATTAGACGCGTCAATATGTCGATAATGAGCTATAACGGTGGGGCGGTGGTTGCGATGACCGGAGAGAAGTGTGTTGCGATCGCCAGCGATCTGAGGTTCGGATCTCAACTATCAACAATCGCTTGTGACTTCCCGAAAGGTTAGTGATAGCGGTCAAATCTGGCTTTAAAATTGTCTACTCTTTTTGTTCAAATTAACTTATTTATAACTTGGTTTGATAGAATGGACTAATTTTAAAAGGTATTCAAAAATAAAATTTTTCCAAGAAGTTTTTTAGAGTTTATTCGCTGAATTTGTGAAAATAAAAGATTATTAGGTAGATAAAAGTAAATTAATAGGTAATGGTATTAAAAGGATTTAAAAATTGGCCTTTCAATGTCCAATTTTTCTTGTTTTCCCCTCCACATCGTCAACAATCATCCCCCCCCCCTCCCGGTTGATAATTCTTAAAGACAAACACCCTTGGTTGAATAGACTTTAATTGTGTTTATTTTCTTGATTTTGAAATTATTTTAATTAGTGTTTGAGATGAACCCCCACCTCTGGATTGGACTCCCCGGCCTAGCTACAGATCTTCAAACTGTTAAACAAAAAATTGAATTTAGAAGGTAAGAAAGAGATTTTGGCTATCCGGATCCGGATCTGCAAAAATATGCGGATCCACGGATCCGGATCCAAGGGGTAAAATATCAACTATAAACTGAAAAAAAACTCCTAAAACCCAAATCGGAAATTTTGAAAAAAGAGATATTATAAAAATTTCCTCATTTTTGAATGGCTCATCAAGTTTTAGGATAAAAATAAGCGAAAAAAATANGATCTCATAGGTATAAGATATTAACAAAATTGTATAATTGAATGTACTGGTGTATTTCTTAATAAGTAATTAACAATTGGTTGACTGATTGGATGGATTGATGGATTGATGTGTAGGGTGTATGACTGAACCAGTTGATTTTGTAACTGGTGGTACCCCTGAGGAGCAGTTGATGGGTATGTGTGAGACCCTGTGGGAGCCAAACATGTCACCTGACGATCTTTTTGAGTGCACTTCCCAGGTTTGATCGATTCGTAGTTCAAATATAGAAAAGTGTTCCCTTGGATAACGAGTTTAATGTGCCCGAATTTGTCTGTATCCTTTTTTACACCAAATAATGAGCATTATCGTACTTTGCAGTTTATTGAATAAAAACAAAGAAATTTAGATAGCATTGAACTACAAGAACTTTTTGAGAGGCTCCACAAGAGTCAGTGAAAATATTAATTTTACTTCAAAATTGTATGTGCTAAGTGCTAATGTTTGCTTTATTGCAATGTGCAAAAAAGGCCAAAACCAATGATTATTTCGTTTGATGAAACTACTGGGGATTGTATTTTCTCGAAATTTTTTTTTTCTTTTTTGGTGAATGGAGGGGGGGGGGGGGATAATTTTTTTGGGGGGAAATTAAATGAATTTTTGGGTGAAAAGTATCTTGAAGAATAAAAAAAATGTATTGTCTTTTTTCCTATTTTTTTTCCCAAATCATCAAAAATGATTGACTCTGAAAAGTTTTAGAAAATTTATTAATAATGAATATAAAAAACAATTTCCATCCCTGTTTAGGCGTTGATGAATGCATTTGACCGTGACGGAATATCAGGTTGGGGAGCTGTCGTTCATATCATCGAGAAAGACAAGGAATATATATTTGCATTTTCCCTGAAAAAAAGGATTCAAAATTTGAAATTGTGGTTTGTTAAAGGAATTAGTATTTTAATGTCGATCTTCAGTAAAACCATTTGATACTATCTGAATCTTCTACAGCCTATACGAACAGAGGTCGGGACATTAATCTGAAACGTTTCATCTTGATATCCAATGTAGCCACGTTTAAATTCGAGGATAAAAGCTTCCATCACTTCTGATTATTTATCCCTGAAGGGTACTACAAACGCAGAAGGATTAGATTAATCCGCAGATCTATATAAAATGAAGATTAATGCTTGATCCTGTAATTCGCAACGCTAAATTTATGGTTTAAGCTCACTTCTGTTTCTCCTGTATTTTTATGAAAAAGAAATTTTTTGCCATATTTTGTTACATTTTAGTATTAAAGCAACTTAATCTAGGAAAATATAAGTTGGTTTAGTAACTGGAAATTCCATTATTGATTAGTTCTTCATTTTTCTAAAAGTTTCTTAATTCCATTATTGATTAGTACTTCATTTTTCTAAAAGTTTCTTAATTCCATTATTGATTAGTACTTCATTTTTCTAAAAGTTTCTTAATTGACTGAACCATGTTATGTCACAGGATAGTTTACCCCAATGTCCGCCATTATCTTGACAGACACATCGTAGATTCTTTACCCCTATCATAATTCGCGAACATTCCCCTTTATTTTATTTGAATCCACTAAACAAGTATATATATTGATCAGGTGACCACCCGTACCCTCAAGACAAGAATGGATTAAACGATCAACCAACTCTTCAATCTTGGAACCAATCGAACCAAACATTTAACTTTTAATATTTCTATAACTTACATTTTCCCCAACCTCCCAAGTCCTGTTATATTTTGACAAGTCCTCTCTAAACTCCTCCCCGCTATTCCTCGTGAAAATATCGTGATATTTCCAGATAACATGGATCGGTTATTGCGCCTGGGCGGAGCAGGTATGGGAGGAATGGGTGGGTCCGCCCCACCCTCGGATTCTCCAGTAGTAGATACAGCTGAGCAGGTTTATATCTCATCTCTAGCTCTACTCAAGATGCTCAAACATGGACGTGCAGGTAATTAATCATTAATTACGCTCAAAGCAACATTTATTTGTGATTTGATTTCAAAGTTAAAAGAAAAGTTTGGAAAGTTTATCATTTTAACTTGATATTGAGACGATTTCGAAAATGCTTAATCCTAAATGGCTCGAGACAATTAAATTTAAGTTAAGAACAATATAAATGATTCAGGAGTGTTTTTTTTCTCGACTAACCACCCCCTCTTTTGAAGTAATGTATGTTTGCTTGTAGCACAAACATTTTTTTAGGTTTCTATTTGTTTAATAAATAAATGATTTTTAAGGGAAATGTTTGGGTAAAAAGTATTGGAAGGGATGAATAAACTTGACTTTAGATGTCCAATTTCTTATTTTTATCCTCAGAACATCAAAAATCATTACTAATCACACAACTTGAGGCGTTTCATAATTTCAATTGTTTCATAATTTTAATTCAAAAGATGGACCTGGGTTCGTTAGGAATCTGCCTCCAGGAATAATTAATAGAGCAAAACCTGGGCGAAAATAACAGACTCTCCTAGGCATGTAGTTAATGCGCGCATGGAAAGGAAGGGTACTGATGGGTGAAGTCGACTGGGGGCCAGAACATCCCCAGCGATTCCCTTTAATTAATTAATTAGTATCTAAGCAAAATTCTCATTCCCCCTCCCCCCCCCCCTTATGAAATCTTTTTTTTACCAGAAATTATTGAAGTTAAACAAATATTAAGGTTTTTTCTCTGGTTTTAATTCTAACTATCCATAAACCTTACCTTGGATCATGTGAGGTCCCACACAAATTTTTACCCCGATCGGTTCAGTACAGTTTATACATATAGATGTTCTAACTATTCTAGGAGTACCTATGGAGGTTATGGGACTTATGTTAGGAGAGTTTGTTGATGAATACACAGTCAGAGTTATTGACGTGTTCGCTATGCCTCAATCAGGTTGGTTTATTTATTTATTAATATTGGATTTCTGAAACACACTTTTCCTGATATGTTTTTTTTTCGTTATTATCAATACTCTTGGTTCGTCGCATAGCTTTTATTTCATTGACAATCAAAATCATCAAAAATGAAGTTCAGTGAAATTTGTGGGTTTAGAGCGTTATAAACGATTGAAACACATTCTAGGCTGTCCAATTTTTTCATTCTTCCAGGTCATCGCAAATATTTTTTTTGTTGGGGGCCCGGGATCAATTTCTTCCAAGATGGGGGTCTTCAGATCCTCCCTTATCTTATCTTATCTTATCTTATCTTATCTTATCTTATCTTATCTTATCTTATCTTTTCGGTTACGTAATAACAGCTGATTAGCGATGGTTATGTAATATTCTCCGTAAATCCTTTTCTCTGATTGGTTCAGATTTTCCCGGGAAATTCAAATTTGAAATTGAGAAAGTTTAATATTTAAGTAGCTATTCATTATTTTACAGAATTTTTAACCTCGAACTTAAAATTCGCGCATTCTTTAGTTTTAGACTCAGGTTATGTCTTTATTTATCATTATTTATCTTATTTCTCAATCACGGCCTTTTCTGTGGTCTTAGCTTTAGTCTTCAGCAGCTTGTTGGTATGGACATGAGTTGGGAGTACATCCCCCACCAGGTTTCCAGAAGATATCCTCGTTGTTAGGGTTGCAGTGCAAGAACAGCGCCATTTCTTGGTCTCTGCCCTTTCCCCATCGAAAACATAAGAGAAGTTATTCTTTTCTCTGTAGTTAGGCTTACCTCGAATGGTAAGCCCTGCAGTTATCATGGGAGCCATTTTCAATGTGTCATTCGATCTGATTGGTTTATAGAAAATTGAGCTATTTTTAAAAATTTGCAGATTTTTGAAAAAAATTCTCGGATTGTCGAAAATATCTTTGTGAAAAAAATATTGACTAGGCAAAAAATTCGCTCTATTTTTACTCTAGGCAAAATGTTACCCATGGCAAAATGTTATTAGGCAAAATGTTACCTAGGCAAACTGTTACCTAGGCAAACTGTGACTAGGCAATATGTTCCTGCGCCGCGTAAGCATATATAACTTCTATGGGAAAAAATTATTTCTTAGGGGGGAAATAACTTTTCGAAAATATTTAATTATCCCCCTTGTTTAGGCGAAGATGTTGGATATGCTGAAGCAGACTGGTCGACCTGAGATGGTTGTTGGTTGGTACCATTCCCATCCTGGCTTCGGTTGCTGGCTCTCAGGGGTAGACATCAATACACAGCAGAGCTTCGAGGCCCTTTCAGACAGAGCTGTTGCTGTTGTGGTTGATCCAATCCAGTCTGTCAAGGGAAAGGTTGTTATCGATGCTTTCCGTCTCATCAACCCTAATATGATGGTGCTGGGACAGGTTAGGACAATTATATATAAAATACATTATAGGCTTGCTTCTATTTCAACTATCAAGTTGCTCAATCTTTAAACATTTTCTCTTCCATAAAATAAAAATTTAAGTTTTTGCGGATTTTCAATTTTTTGGATGGTTTTACTTTTTGTAATTTTGAGCATCCATAAACCTTCCTAGGAGTCATGTGAAGTTTCATAAATAATGTAGGACCGGACAGTTCAGCCTTTTAGACGTTTGTATGATACAAACAAACACGCTTTCCCAATAAAAGTCAACACAACTCAATTTATAATTTTTAAACAAGAGTTCCTTACATCCAAATAAACAGCTATATTACTACTTCATATATAAAAATTCCGTTAACATTTGTATTTATAATCAGCCCTACATTCTCATGCTTATTGAATTAAATATACATTGGATTGTTGAACGCGTGCAATTAATGAAACATTTTGATTTATTTTTTGAATTTCTGTAAATTTGGTTTGATTGATATTTAACAAATCATATATATCATTATTGCTGAATTTGATATTTTTTTTATTTTTATTATCTNGGGGGGGGGTGATTTTTCTAGAGAATCTGCAATCTACATTGTACAGTTAAGACCCCAGATTCTATATTTATTTTGTTTAGGAGCCCAGACAAACTACCAGTGTTCTTGGACATCTTGTAAAACCCAGTATTCAAGCTTTGATTCATGGTCTTAACAGACACTACTACAGTATAGCAATCAACTATAGAAAGGTAAGGACTTTTTCATCACCAGTACGGATGGGCGCGTTCGGCTTTTTTTCATTTTGTTCGTTTGTCTTTCGTGAACTATTTCTTTCGGGGTTTTTTTTAACCGTTAAAAAAATCCGTTCGTTCGCAAAAATATCGTTAATTTTTCATCTGTTTCGTTTGTTTTCTCATTCAATAAAATCGTTCGTTCATTTAAAAATCGATCGTTTTTTCAAAAGTTTGTTCCAATAAATCGTTGGTTCAGTTAATAAACTTTTGTTTTTAATAAGTTTGTTCCAGAAAATCGTTCGTTTAGCAAGTTCGTTTGAACGACTAAAAACGATCGTTTTTTATTTCTCTGAACGATTCCAATCAATCGGTTTTTTCTCAATCCATCCTTCACAAAAAAAAATTCGTTCGTTGACAAAAACTATGCCCATCTCTAAACATCAGTAACACCAAATCATTTTTTTTCTTAAAATGAATTATGGTCAAATCTTTCAAAAATTTCAAATGTTTAAAAAAATTAAGAAAACATTTGCTCTTCTTTCTCTACGCCAAATATAGACCCGAAAAAAAAATATAAAGTGATAACTAGAAAACTCTGGAATGGAAATACGACTTTTCGACTATTTTTTTACGTTTAGTAGTCCAATGATCATTGGACACCGCAACTTTGTTGTGTAAAAAGACCCATTTCACTTAAATAGTGCTTTAATTAGTGTTCAGTAAAACTATATGCTTTGTAGCAACATCAAATACACCTAAGTATTGCTATAAAGTCGTCTTCCTATTTCAGAGTTTTTTGGTTATCACTGAGGCAAGAAACGAACCAGCTAAATTCGCATCACTAAGTGTAAAATTCTAACGCTTGTTTCAATTCTAGAATGAGTTGGAGCAGAGAATGCTGATGAACCTGAACAAGAAGTCCTGGTCGGATGGTCTCACGCTGAGAGATTACAAGTAGGGCATTATAGTGTTCACGATGGATAAAATGGGGTTGTGTTCGAATCATAATTATGAATTAAGAGTTGCGACTTTTGGTTCGATCTAATGTTTCCATTAAAGGAAAGGTGTATTTATGGATTGCCAGAATTAAAAATATTTGCTTCTAAAAGAACGATTTGATTTTTAAAAATCCACGAAAAAAAATCGATGAAAGAGTAACATTTAAAAGTAAAAATCGAAGAAGGGTCCCTGGAAAAGCCTAGTTTGTGAATATTAGACTTAACCTTGAATACTAGTTAATCTCTTATTGATTATATTTAACGACAAACCCGAACTTTTTTCTTTGTTGGAATCCAGTGATTAAAAGGACTGTATAAGTGTAATTTCAAGTAACCCCCATCCAACCCCCCTCTCAGTGGGCTAGCCTCTATACCTATTCTAATCCTGTTTTGTTCAGGGATCATTGTGGTTTGAATGAGAAGACTGTTGAAGAAATGTTACAGCTCGCTAAGAACTACGATAAGGTAATCTTCTTGAGTCTAGGTCTCCCATACTGGACAAATAGAATATAAGGTAGGTATGGGGTGGGGTTGACAGGAATGGAATGGGATTGAAAGGGATTGAATGGGATTGAAAGGGATGGGATACATTGAAAGGGATTGAATGGGATTGAAAGGGATTGGATGGAATTGAAATGGATTGGATGGGATTGAAAGGGATTGGATGGGAGTGAAAGGGATTGGATGGGAGTGAAAGGGATTGGATGGGATTTAAAAGGGATTGGAGTGGATTGAAAGGGATTGGATGGAAAGGTATTGGGTCGGATCGGATATGTATTAGTATATATATAAGTATAAATGTATAGGCTCTAGAAGAAGAGGAGAAGATGACCCCTGAGCAGCTGGCGATCAAGAATGTCGGGAAACTGGACCCAAAACGTCATTTGGAGGAGAAGGTAACTTTTAATCAGGGATTAGGATTTCATTTTTATGCGGATCCGCCCAGCTAAACATGGATCCAGGTCTTGAACAAATTATCAAATTACTTTTCTTCTTTTTTCTCTTGTTTTATGCTACACTTGATAAACCATTCAGAGATAAGGGCATTTTCATTAATCTCTTTTTTCAACAGTTCAGATTTGTTTTCGGAAGCAAAATTTAAAAATAAAGTTTTTTTATTGATTTTTGCTCCTTGTATTCGGTTCTGCCTGCCCCCGGGCCGGGTGTCCACCTGACGGCTGTCTGGGTTCTACAAACTGGGGGGCTTTCAGATACTCCTGTATTCGGATTCCGGATATGTGGATCCGTGTATTCGGCTCCAGGAAGCCAAGTATTTAGAATGTTTTTGTAGGATTTTAAACTTTTAAACTTTTTCTGAAATTTGACGAAATTTTTTTTAATAATTAAAAAAAATCTTTTTGGAAGAAAAATCTCTGAAGAATATATTTTGTAAATTCTGTTACTACTACTGCAAGGTTGTAAACGAGAGTGGGTTCACACCCTTTGCTAATGGTAGATGTCAAGTCTACTAAAGTCAACGAGAATACATTTCTACTTTTGCTGAATCAATATGTATTTATAAGTTCAATGAATGCATTCCTGAAAATGTTTTGATTTTTTAAGCGCTGACTAATTATCTACTTTAAATGCACAATGAATGTATATTCAGTTGAGATTTCAATATGTATACTTTGTTTCAACAAAATTATCAAACATTATATTTTGAATTGGCTCATAATAAAGTTTCTTTTGTGTTTTATTTTAAGCTGAACCATCATACATTATTATTTTGTATTTTGTGTTTGAAAATAAATACTATAACTATTATACAACCTTGAACTACTGTAACTAAAATAATTCTGAAAATTGGATGAATTTGAATGTGAAATTGATTAGAATATTGTTAATGTTAAGGTTGATGTTTTGATGACCAACAATGTTGTCCAGTGCCTGGGAGCTATGCTGGATACAATTGTGTTCAAATAAAGGTAACATATTACAATATGTAATAACTATTTTAAACTATTTCGAAAATAAGTCTTCGGATCAAAACTCTTATTCTGATCTTGATTTGATTTTTCAAAGACGTGTTTTTGTAAATTATTTAAGTTTGCTTCTCTAATATCTTCCGATATCAAATTAACATTAACATGATGTGTCATTTGCTTTATCTTAAATTTAAAGAATTTGAGCCGCGTTCTAAATTTTATCCGCGGCTCAAATATGGTTGGTTCCACTTAAAACTGTATTAAACTTTTCAAGATCTAAGCCGGCGCTCAATTGAAACCGGTTTTGGGGGGATTTGAAACGCGGTTTTAATTCATTAAATTCATACATAGAAATCGTAAATAAGTTTTAAATTTTAAACTATGTACATTTTTGTCAATCAATTAGATTACAAGGTTTGTCTCAATCTTGATCTGCAGGTTGCACCACTAAACATGACGCTTAAGAGACGCTTTAAGATCGTCTTGATCTTTGAAATACCTTGCGGCATTCTTGAATTAAAAATCACTAGCTTAAGGGCCCGGCGTTGCCCGTGGAAAAAAAACATTTCAAAATATTTTAGACTATAACACAAAACACAAAAAATCTCAGTCCAATCGGTTCAGCCGTTCAGCCGTCTATACGCAACATATATATATATATATATATATATATATATATACGAATGTCTTGTTTTATAAATACCCTTTGCCCTGCCATGTCCAAAATGTGGTCTGCCTTTTATGCTGAGAAAATTGCTGGAGCAATAAACATTTCTGTTCTTTTTTTTTCAAACGAAATTCTTCAATCTTTATATCTTCGGTGATATTGAAAGAACAAAAAACGGCAGACCACATTTTGGAAATGCTAGTAAGAAGTGATATTGTCTGAATCTAAAATCCCAGCTTAAAAAATAGAAAGAGTAATTAATGCCGCAAATCATTTCAAAGATCAAAGACTATCTTCAAACCGTCTCTGATATGGTATGGTTCGTGGGACACTTTAACACACTTTTAGAATGCAAGGGGTAGTAGGGGGTCTTTAATAGTCTGATCTGATTTTGCCCCAAAATGTTTTTGTTGTTAGATTTTAATTGATTTATATTTCAGGTTGGTTTGTGATCGGTGAAACTAAATACATTTTACGCTAAAGATAAATTATCTTTCCTCATCGCCATTTAATTACTCTTCCCCTCCATCATTCACATGCAAATGATATAATCCCCCCTCCCCTCCCACACAAAAATATTTTCCGTTGTATTTTTGACAGTGTTATATTTCCAACATTTATATGTATAAATTAAAATACATTAATAATTGTCATAATGATAACTTTTTATTTAAAGTCACTGTAAAGTTTTTAAATTCTTAAACAAGTTAATAAGAAAAAAATTATCTTTTTTGCAAACATTTTTTGAAAGAAGTTTTTTGTATTTTTTGCTGCATCATATTTTTGATTTTGTTTTAATATTGTAATGTTTACTTAGAAAAAGTTCTAAATATGATGTTAAAAGGCTGGTTTTCGTCTGGTTTTAACTCCTTCATACACTGGGTCCGGTGGTTTGTACAGAGCTGTACTCGTAGAAAACTGAAAATAATATTTTATAGAAATCTGTCCGTTGCTATTAGCTAACAGTTAGTGAGAAGAGTGCCATCCATGAGGGTCGCCTAAAAGGTCTATATTTTAAGCTTGAATTAGTGCCTAGAATCCATTTAGATGCGGATCCAGCTCATCAACATTTCTTTATGATTTACTGATTTTTTAACAAAAGTAAAAATTTTCAAACATTCGTTTTTTTGCTGAAACTTTGCGATTTATTCAAAAATTTGAAATTTTTGTTAATCCAATATTATTTAACAATTTTGAATTCTGTTGTTTTGTGTGACATGTTGTTCCTGAGATCCGGATCTGTGATGCCAACATTTTGCGGATACAACTGATCCGGATCCGTGGCATTGTCTTTAAGGTTCCCTGGTTGTTTCCTAAAAATTGTTGATGATTTAAGATGAAATAATGAAAATAAGAATAAAACTTGTAAATGTGTTAGGTTGTCAGGTTTGTGGGTAACCCTGGAGCTGTCAACGCATGAGACTTAATACAAATTTAGTCGCAGCATTCTAATAGATGGATAAAGTTTATTGCTAAAATATAGAGTGTCAGTTGATGAATAGTTTAAAATGTTTTCTTCCATTTTTTTCAAGTTCTTTGGTACCAAGGAGAAAAGTAAAAAATATATTATAGTAAATTTAAATTGAAGTAAAATACATTTGAGTAACAATTTAATTCGACGAAATTGATTTCAAAAAATCCTAAATATCTGAGTTAGTAAATGGAAGAAGACATTCAAAACTATATACCAGCTGTCATATTTCGTGGGACGTATCTATGAAATATTAATCAAATGATGTGGAAATGTTGAGACAAGAATCTAGTGTATGTACAGAAATTAGATAATTACTTTTTTTAACATAAAAATCTCTGCGGTCGGCAGCACAATTTCTTGGCTGTAATAGACGCAAAGCAATATCTTTCTTTCAGAAGAAAATCGTTCAAATCGTATAATTTCCCTGTCGTAAAAAAATTATTGGTTACCTTAATCTTAGTTCTCGGATTTTCACGATTAGTTCTTGATCTTTCAGGTCTGAAAAACAATTTTAATATTTTAAATATAAAATCCAATATTTTTCTACGGCTAATTATCATTCGTGATCCCAAAACTTAAGACAGGGTATCGTTAAAATAGCCAGTTTTGAAATCCGGGGGTTTCCCGAATGGGGTTAGGCAGTTTTGTAGATATCAACATTTTTGTTATGAAATATTATATTATTTAGTTTCTTCATATTCTCCTTTTTTCGAATCTCTTAAATTAAAATCTACTTAAATGATAAGACCACGAAATGGAAACTCGGGAGTTTCATACAATCGATACTCTTTTAAATTTCGGGCTCTGGAATGATTAAGTTAGTCGAACAAACTTTTCTGTATTCAAAATATACCGCGTATTTTGGCGCTAAAGCTTAGAGATAATCTAATCTGATATTGGACGCTGTATGTAGGAAGATAATATATATTGATGCTTATAATAATAGCCTTAGCTAGGACTAGAAACTATTAAGTTGTATTGTATACCTGTGGACACATTTTTATAAAAAGAAATAGTTATTAGGCATACTACGAATGTACGAAAAATTAAAGTTTAAAGATAACTTAAAAATTAATTGAAATAAGTTACAGGACTTACTTGTCAACATATACAGGGTTACACCCACAAAGAATGATACTGTAAAGACGACCTGACGATCTCTAGTTTGAATTAAATATTCTGCCTTTTAAGAGCTTGTTTAATGATTTAGCTAAACCTGTTTACAGTTGCACGAAGTTGTGAATTTATTGAAACATGACAGTGTAAATTTCATACAATCGTCTTTGAGTCTCATCCTGTGTGGGTAAACCTGTATATTGAATTCAACCATTTAAAATTAATAAATACAAAATAACCCTCGTCCTGTAATTCCCCCAATATGGTCTTTATTTGTGTGAATATCTAAATTCAAGCATGAATAAAAGTATAGGTTGACAAATTATTTCAAAGAGCAACATTAATCCGTAACTCAACTGTAAGGTTCGTGGAACTTTTTTCAGAGACACACTGTACATTTTCAGGGACACACTGTACATTTTCAGGGACACATTGTACATTTTCAGAGACACACTGTAAAGTTTTTAGCCTAACCTAAATACTGTTGGTATATCTAGTACAGTTAATTGTTTGGTTGGTAGACTTATACTTTGCCGCCTGAAATATATAAATACAATAAATATATTGACAATCTGAACATTGAGAGTTTTTTTTTCGAAATTCATTCAGTTCCCCGTTTAAATGTTTGAAGGGAGTAAGCGAATTGTAATTAACCCTCAATGCAAAGATAGCAATGTCTGATTTACAACTGTACCCTTGAAACCTTGATCTGATCCACTGTGGAAGATAATGTTGTTTTTCTATGAACTTTTCGATTTTTTCTTATAAGCACGAAATGCTCTGCCACTTTTGCAGAGAAAATAAACAGTTTAAAACAAACAAAAACACGGATATATAATTAATACTTGATCAGGCAAAGCTTTGTAAATCTGGCATTGCCATCTTTGCATGTAGGGTTTCTTAAAATTAAGATAACAGTCCCTTTAAAGTTTAATTTTTATTTAAGCATTTATAGAAAATATTTTTGAACAGTTAAGAATGTTAAAGATAAAAAATGTTGAGTAATCTTTAACATTTTGTTCAATATTTCAAACAAAACGGTCATCGTTTCAGAATATTCTTTCGATAGTTCGATGTTACAAATAAAAAGTTTTTTAACAGTACATCTATAAGCGTTGTCAATCTGCCGGGATCGATTAAATAATGTTAAAATTTCATGAATTCAAAACTGTATGTATTATGTAATGTTTGCTTTTACTAAACTTTGCAATATATTTATCCATAAAAAAAACGATCGTTACAACATGTTTGTTTTTGGATCGTTATTATGTCGTTTTTTTGCATATATCTTCTTTTAGGGTCGAAATTTGAGAATAATTAAGTTTAAAAACATGTCTGCCATTCTTAAACTCTGCCAACTTTTTGCCCTGAAAGAAAATAACGTCAGAAAACGTCCCAAAAATAGACCAGCAAAAGGGACACATGACAAAGTGTACCTGATTGGCTTTGGTGTTCTTGGAGGCGGAGGAATGGCGGAAGCTCGTCTTAGATATGGCGGAGGAGGCGGAGACCGAACCCAGCGCTCTTTTATTACTAACAAATAACATGTTTTTTTTTTAAAATTCTGGAAAAGAGCTTTGGGTCTTACCAATGATTTTAAATGAAAAATATTTTTTTTAATATGACACATCACACAATATTTGCGGTGAACATGTAGGATTAATTTAATAGTTGTACTACAGAATATCGATTGAACTTTAAGCTCAATAAACTAACGTTCAATTATTATTTTTTTATTTTACGATCAGAGCTCTTAAATTTGCTGAGGGTGGACTTCTTGGCTATTGCCCCCCCTTCAGGTGGGGGCAAGCCTTCATAAAAGATGGGGCATCCCCCCCCCCTTAATCATGCAGGCTAGAGGGGGGCCGCTTCATTTGTATCTAGTCCTTCCCCCCCCCCCTACACCTGGTGGAGGGGTGATGTCTCGGACACAGTTCTTGATTTCAGGAGAACTAATTTCTGCTTTATTCAAACAATCAGGTTCGGGCTAAAGATATTATATCATTAGGTTTAATAAGATATTATATCATCAGGTTTAATAAGATATTATATCATTAGGTTTAATAAGATATTATATCATTAGGTTTAATAAAATATTATATCATTAGGTCTAATAATATATTATATCATTAGGTCTAATAATATATTATATCATTAGGTTTAATAAGATATTATATCATTAGGTTTAATATGATATTATATCATTAGGTTAATAAGATATTATATCGTTAGGTTTAATAAGATATTATATCATTAGGTTTAATAAGATTTTTATCATTAGGTTTAATAAAATATTATATCATTAGGTCCTATTGTTTTGAAATTGAGATTATAGGGACTATAGGTGTAATTATAATCGACCCTCTATTTATAAATTCCGACTCACAACGGTAAACTCCTATACAAGCTTTGTCTTATCAAGAATTAAAGAAATATCCATTCAATGTCAGCAGCTGCAAGATATCGAATTTAGAAACATATGATGAGCTAAACTTCCAGAAATATCAGACAAAGTTAAAAAGAAGCAGAGATTAGCAGAATTTTGAACCAATGCATAGATAAGAAGAATGTACAGACTATTTCTAATACCAATTATTTTGAAAATATGAAAAGTAAATGTTGGGGTGCTGTTTCACACTTGGGGTTTTTGGGGTCCTGGTATCCTCCTCCCCCCCCCCCAGAGGGGAGGGTCCCGGGGCCCCTAGAATCCCAAACTGGGAAAAATTAGAATACTCTTATACTATTGAAATAATTTTGTACAATTTTGTAATTATCTCTTATAAAAACCTTTTTTAAAAAAAATTAGAAAATATCCATGATCTCTCTTTAAAAAATTGGTTATTTTCAATTGTAGATTATTTTTAAAAGTGACTTACAGATATTTGCTACAAAAACTGGAAAATTTGGGAGGATTTAAGACTTTTAAAACAAAAATTTCGATTTCTTAGATTTGAGAAAGGTTTAAAGTGTAATGTTGTGAGTCGGTCATGTATGATCTTCTTTAAATGGAGGGTCATTTGAAATTGTAGAGACAGTCTCTTTAAGTATTTAATCTGAGCTTTAGAATTGGATATCCTTAATCCTAATCGGTTAACTAATCTGGAGAACAAGCATTATTTAATCTGGAGATTAAGAAAAAAAGGCATTGATCTCGATATCCACCATTCTACAGTTTTCAGCTCTGATTAATTAAATTTACAATTATATTCTTTTCGCCAACATTTAAAGTCTTTCCATTATAATTTATAATTTATAATTGATAGAGAATAATCAGATCCTCAAGGTTTTAAATATTACCTCTTTAACACAAGATCTGCAGTAACTACAAAAATAACATAAATAAATCATTTCATTTTAGATTTATAAACTAAAATTGTCCATTTCTTTTCAAAATTCGAATATTTTTTTTAAATTGCATTTTTTTTACAAAATAAGAAATTTTAAAAAAGTGCTTTTTAAATTCCACAGGGAACGCCGGGCACTTGAGCTCGTGATTAATAAATGTTTATGTTGAACCTGAAAGCTTCAATAATTCCAACTTCTCCTGGTAGACAAGGCTGAAAGTATTCTTGTGCAAGACTGAAAACAAGAAATAAAGAGACAGTTTACGTAATTCTAGAAGGATTGTAGAATCAATTCATGATATCAAGTGACACACACAACTTGAACAACGGAACCGTTCCGCCTTAATCTTAGCAAAAATACTAACTAAAGAATTCAGTATTTTTTCTCTGAATATTAAATAATTTCAATTTTAGTTTTCCCATTTAGTAACTTTCGGATTTATGTAGCAAAAACAATGAAGGAAATTTCCATATTTCAACACTAAAAACATGTAAAACCGCACATATCTTTCCCGGATAAATATTAAAAGGGGTACCACTGTAAATCGGGAATGCATATAGTATGCCGAGTCCATTATAGACTGATCCAATCAGGGTTCAGCCATGTGTTTGGTGTCTATGCTGAACCAATAGAAATTGCATGGTGGTAACATCTATCTTTCTATCTAGCTCATTATCCAAATAGAGATAAACCCTTATATCGGCGCTGTCAGTAAATGGAAATATTTGCTTCTACTGAAACTATAGAAATCTCTTTTGGAACTATTGATTACGTTTATAATCCCTTGTTATACAATAATATATTTCTAGTAAACGATGGTGGAATGTTCTTTGGCATTCAAAGAAATGTTGTCTGTGTTTTATCTTTATTTTTAATTGATTAAATGATTTATAACATTTTAAAAAGTTTACTTACCAAGCTACTAAAGGGATTACAGGGATGACAGGAGGCCTAAAAAGAATTATTAACGTTTTCTTCAAAATTTTAGTTTAGACAGTTGGAATCTTATGAATTGACAGAATGAGTTAAGCTCTGATAAAACTAAAATCTTACATATGAGTGCCGAAAGTTTCAAAGCTTGGCCAATCAAAAGACAGTATTCCATATAATCTTAATTTTCGCAGATTTGAATATCAATCATTTTAATTAATTAGCTTCTCTTTTGAGTGCTGGGTCATCGCATAGAAATACATTTCATAGACAGGACAATCATAGACAGGACATTTCATAGATAGGAAATTTCATAGACAGGACATTCATAGACAGGACATTTCATAGATAGGACATTTCACAGATAGGACATTTCACAGACAGGACATTTCATAGACAGGGCATTTCATAGATAGACATTTTATAGAAAAAGAAATTCATAGATATATGACATGGAACATTTCGTAGATAGGACTTCTTCCCATAGACATGGCATTTCACTAGACAGAGTAGATTTGTTATAGACAGGCATTTTCATAGACAGAGAAGAATGTTTGTAAACACAAAAACGATTTTTTTCCAAAAAAATTTAGGATTTGGGTTTGTAAGAATGTGTCCCAATTTTTAGAAAATGTGATCAGTCTGACCTACAAGAAATAAACAATATAATATGTTATCAGTTTAAAGCAAAAATATAAATAATATCTGAAGTAAAAATCAAAAAGATATATGGTCTATGAAAAATATTCTCTGTCTATGAAATGTCTATCTATGAAATGTCTATCTTTGAAATGTCCTGTCTATGAATGACCCAATACTCCCTCTTGTGGATAACACGAAAAAATCGAGCAGTATTTTGTCATTTACTACTGATAAAGTTTAGCTAGAAAAAAAAGCGCTGCAATTTTATTTTAAAGGCTAAAATTTTATTATTGTCATGCATATAATTAACCCTGGACTGATTTATTGTGTTTTCAGTTCACGGTTGAGTCCTGTATAAACTGCCTACCTGAAATATATACATAAGATTTAATCAGTGCAAATAGAGGTGAGCCGAAGAGAAAGAGTTCATGCTCGCTCTTATGTTTGTAGTTATTACCTGGTCTCCTATAGTTAAAAATGAGCACACCCAATACTCCCTCTTGTGGATAACACGAAAAAATCGAGCAGTATTTTGTCATTTACTACTGATAAAGTTTAGCTAGAAAAAAAGCGCGCTGCAATTATAAAATATATATATTGCTAGGGCTACGAAAAGTAAGTTGGTGACACTTAAATGTCGAGGTTGTCTAAAAATTTAATAAATAACTTTTAGAGTTGTCAGTATCTCATGGGTGGGGTCGAGTTAAGGCTTATGTCTGATCTAAAAGATGCTATAACTTCATTAACTATGGAAGGATACAAGGTGTCCCACTGAACATTTAAGTTAAGGAAATACTTGAAGATCGTCTTTGATCTTAGAAATAGTTTGCGACATGATTCATTCGTCCAAATTCACAGCAAACAGTTTTAGTTTTTATTTAATAAATTAAAAAATAATTAAATTAAATTAAATTAAATTAAAATAAATTAAATTCTTTATATTTCAAAAAGTTTAGAAGCACATTCAGGAAATGCCAGGACTAGGAACATTTAAATTTTATTTTATTTTAAATAATTTGATGAATGAATGCCGCATTTTGTTTCAAAAATCAAAGACGATCTACAGATTACCTTCAAGGATTGCCTACCTGAGTTTAAATATAACACTAGGTTCTACACTAGGAATTCCTTTTCTCATATCCTCATCCTTTCAGTACAGTTTAAACAGTTGGACCATAGATTAATAACAATACAGACAGAACATTAGATGTCGTCTTTTCAAGATTTATGGGTCACAATAACCCCAAAGGAGTTACGTACATATCGCGTAGAACAGGCTTTCTCTCTGTCTTTTAATTGAAGAAAATACCCTTTAAGGGAATATCAATTGGGAAGTTTCCCATTAAAACCATCATTCAAATATTTACAATTAAGAAAATACACTTGAAAAATGTACATTCTGGAATGTATAGATAATCCGTTTGGTGTACTGTCTTTAGGCTGTACAAATACTGTACACCACTTGTTCATGCCGCTTAAAAGTCGGTACTTCAAATTAACCGAAGTTTTTAGTGAACCAAAGATATGTTCCTGCTCAGTGTGCAGCAATTAGATAAATTAAGATATTTAAAAACAATTCTTGTTTTTTATATTTTAAAATTATTTGCAAAGTTTTCATGATCCAGTTGTTAGGTGTAATTCCTTGTTGAGTGGAAAACATCTCTGTGGAAGCTCCTGAATTAATAAAAAGGACTGTATACGTCATTTCAATTATTAAGAGGGATGTCCGATTCTTTACCTCTTTAATGTTAAGAACCCATTCGTGATGAACTCGTCTTTGGTTTTCTAAAAAAGAACAAAAAATAAAATTTTTTTTTTAACTATTACATTATTTTATTAATTAGATTAGGTTTATTACCTACTGTTATCCATGTATTTCCAGTTGGCTCATTCGGAAGCAATTTCTTTTAATATGAATGTTTTTTATATCCAATATATCTATCTTCTTTAAATGATTTCTTCTAAAATTTGTTTGTCTAAGTAACTTATTGTTGTTAATTACTTCAGTGACAGTTTTAAAGAATTTATTAAGATGAACTTTATTAAGTTAATTACTTATCATTTTGTTCAAATTTTAATTCTTAAATTTTTTTTTTCAAAACTTTATTCATTTCCCTTAGTGTGTGTATAGTAAATTTGTATTTCTCTAAAATATAATTATAATGAAATATGAAATTAAATATGACAAAGTACACGTTAAAAGGACTTTATGCGTAATTTCAAGTCCATGCAAAGATTGCCATGTCCGATTCACAACGGTAACTTTAAAAACTTCGAAAGATTAAGTAGTAATTAGATATCAATGATGTTAATTTTGAAAACTGATTATTTTCAATTGTCGTTTCTATTCAAAAGTGACTTTCGCTTTTCTTCTGTAGGAAAACATGCAGGAATACTAGAAGAAAACGCTTTTAAGCCTAGAAAAACAACAATATTATTCACATTATTCATCAGATAAAGATTTAGTTTTGTATCTAAATTCTTTTTCTCTCACTTTTAATTCAGAGGCACAGACGCAAAGTAATTTCAATTGACCATTTAATTAAAGAGTTACATGATCGAAACTTATAGAGGATCATAAATTTTGCGTACCGTCCCGGTTTGCATTTACATGTACTGTAATTGTACTGTACAGCTTGCTCAGCTGGAAAAACTTTGGTACTTGAAATGAACCGTAAAGAAAGAATTAAGAAAATATCCTTGTTTTTCTATCTTGAAAATAGATCAATTCTTTCAATTTTTCTTTCATGTTTTCGAAGACATTAAAACAAAAGCATCTCCATCAAGTTTGTCCAGATTTTTTTTACTTTTTTTACTTTTCAAATTATGACTACGTCCATTAAAAATACTGCTGAACCCCTGATGTGCAATGTACAATGGGAATCACCTGTTTCTCCTAAAAATCAATTGATTCATAAAAGGGATTCTTTCCATGTATTTGAGCCAATTCTTAGAAACCAATTACCAGATAACAAACTCTAGACCAGGGTTGTATAATAAGGTTGCTTACTCTCGATGCGCTCCAATGTATCGTCTCAATAGCATAGAAAGATAAATCCCGCATATGACTTCACTGATTATAAGGGCGAGAGTGACGTCATATGCGGATTCTATCTATCTATGCTAAGAAGACGACATTTTCCGTACATTAGAGAGCATATAGAGTGAACCTTATTATACAACCTTGGTCTAGGCTGTCCCAAATTCCATGAAACTTTTCTATTAAAAAAAGTTGTTTAAATCTGCAATCAAATTCGTTATTATTAAATGAACTTACATTTCACCTCAAATTAAAATATTCGTTTTCTTTATTCTTATTACATAGTTTGAACGAACTATATGTGGTCTACTCAGATATGGAATATGATAAAAGAAATACCGGTTAATATTCCAATATTTTGATTAAAATAATAGGTTTAAAAAACTAATGTGAGAAACTAAAACCACCGGAAGTTCTTTTAATCATTCAGTGTGTTTTTAGTTTCAGTTCTTTCGTATCTTAAGTTTAAACCAATAAAAACTTTATCATAACTAATTTTTTTTACTGCCTTTTGACCAACATTACTGACCCATGGTTCCCCATAAAGTTACACGTAAAGTCCCTTGGGACAATCACGTAAAATAACGACTAGCTTTACAAAGTTTTCGTTAACAAATTCAAATTCAACGTAAAAAGATACAAAATTTTGTTCAACTTTTTTAGGAAGTTAGAAATTTTACTTAATCTCGGTTCCTCCTTGTTGAAATGGAATTCTCTTGGTAAATAATTTTAAATAATTTTAATAAATAATTCTTTAAAATCACTTGAATTGAGTTTTTGAATAAATGAATTTATTCCTAAGAAGAGTAATTATCACATTGTCGTCTTTACCCTGCCATAGNACTACAAGTGCTTCTGGACCTGTAGCTTCTTCAGCTTGCAGGGAATACCTTCTTTGACAGCTGACTATCCTTGCCGTATAAGGTAATGGAAATGATTCAGACCACCTTAAGCTCCTATGATGATGGATTTACATAGTGAAAAACAACTGGATTGACCATGATGACCAGTAAAAGTCTTTCATCCGAAAAAGAGCAAATTACTGCTACTGTTGCCTAAGCATATATTCTGATTGACAAGGACTGCAATAGTATTTACGTATGGATCCGTCACTTTAATTTCTTTGGTTCAATTTAAGTGATTTTAAGGTTTCTTCTTAGCAACTTCAAATACACATAAGATTGCTAAATTGTACAGTTTAACATATATATATATATATATCTTTATCTATATATTAGCATGGGTACAAAGCTTTGCCTGGATACTATCCTCTATCTGTAAAAGTCAACCCACAAAACTATTAAGCCAAACTAAAACCATTCCTTTGGTTTTATTTCCAGTTCTTTTAGACATTACTTATAGACAAATAGAGATTACAATTTTATATCTTTATCTCCATCATCTACATCATCTACATCATCTGCATCATCTACATCATCTACACTACATCATCTACATCTACATCATTTCCACATTAATCAAATAGTAATAATAATAATAATAATAATGATAATAATAATTCGTACGTAAAAGTACGACTGTGACGTAATTGTGAATAAGAACTATGACAAAAAATGTGTCTGAAACAAAATTGACCAAAAAAAATGTAACTTAAGATGATAAGACTGAGAAAGTGTTTTAGACATATTAAGAATTAGAATGAGTCCAAGAATTGTAAAATAGCAATGATTTAGAAATGTGACTTAGAATGTGTCTTAGATATAGCTTTGACTAAGAACTGTGAATTAGAAAGTATCTTTGACATAGTTATGTCTCTAAAGTACGACTTTGGTATGGAATAGTGACTTATCATAAGTCTTAGTCGTAGTTGTGACTCAAAACATGTACTGCAGTTCGTACTCCAGCTTTCCAAAAGTTCTTTGTAAAGATCACAATTTATAATGGTATCCTGCTTTAACTAAATTTAACAAGCACATTATCCCCCAAGTTCACGCTACCAACCCCTCCCCTTTCCTTCTGCTATCCCCCAAGTTCACGCTACCAACCCCTCCCCTTTCCTTCTGCTATCCCCCCATGTTCACGCTACCAACCCCTCCCCTTTCCTTCTGCTATCCCCCCATGTTCACGCTACCAACCCCTCCCCTTTCCTTCTGCTATCCCCCCACCCACTAAAAATTTCCCCACTGCATCCCTTAGCTCTACAGTCGATATACTGCAGGATGGGACTATAATAAGCCGATCTGTAACTCTTTAAATATGGCGAATCTAAGGTTGAATTAAATTTTTGCCTTAAATTTAGTCTTTTTATGTCATTTTTAATAATTGGACAAAGAAACTAGTTTACAGTTGCAGGGCATTATCAAAAAAGGAATTTCGCACTCGTCTCTGAAGTCTCTTTCTTTGTATGTAACCTGCTCTCACAAGATTTAGACAGAAGCCCATAGCAGTTACGCGCATACCGCTTTGAATTATATATTATAGATAATAAAATAATAAAGTTTAATATTTACAAAAAAGAATAAGACGATACCAATTTTTTATTTTACATCAACAAAAGTTTATACATATGAATGATAAAACTTTTTCAACATATATGCTTTACGATATTAAAAAAACATCAAGTTTTTTGGTCATTTGGTCAAATATTGAAATTTTCAAGAATTTAAGAAGAGTTTATAATTTGGATTGAATACAGGTAGCAATCATTAATCTTAATAACAGTTGATCAACACACCTTTACAATTTTTCAAGAACATTCCCTTTGTTGACATAAAAAATGAGGACAATATAAAAACAAAAAGCCCATATTTAGAAAACGTATATTTATCCTTCAAGAAAATGGGGAATCTAGCAATATATATTTATAATGTGGTCATTTAGCAATTCCAGACTAAACCCTCTTATCAAATATTAACTTCAAGTCTAGTTTGAATTATTATCAGTGTACTACAGTCCAAATCATAGCAGTAGGCACTGGACGCTTAGTTTTAGGTGGAATCCTGACCAGCTTGAACATACTTGAAGCTGTTTCAATGCAAAACCAGGCTTCCAGGCATTTCCCCCTTTTAAGATATATTTAAAAAATAAACAAAACAACTTACGAACTAAATTTATAAATAGATAACACACAGATTAAGATTAACGTTTCGTATCTTACAATGAAAAGCCAAAAAGGCTGAAAAAATAAGATAAAACATCCTTATCGAATAGACCTAAGTAAATCACCAAGTTGTAAGCAGTTAGTCTGCTTAATGTGAGCTCTACAACTCCGCTTGTAGGACTTGTAATTATCAAACTTCCGCATAATCCAGCTACAATGAACATTGTAACAATACTTGCAGTTCTCATGCATTGTTTAGTGATGACCTCTTTAGCAAGCATCAAATTCTCCCCCACTGCAGCTCTGTTTAGGTTCTCTATTGTACAATTGGGAGTATTCTGATTTTCAGTGGAGTCAACTACAAGTGCTTCTGGACCTGTAGCTTCTTCAGCTTGCAGGGAATACCTTCTTTGACAGCTGACTATCCTTGCCGTATAAGGTAATGGAAATGATTCAGACCGCCTTAATGCTGGCTGTCCACTGGGGCCTGAATTTGTTCTCAATATATCTGATTGATCAGCTATAACTTCGATTAGTTCTGTTGGTCTTACTTGATTATTTTTCTTTTTCATTTTCAGGAACTCTTTAACTAGAACAAAAAGTACTTTAACTGTTTCCAGAAATAAGGAACATATTAGAAACACTGGAAAAGTTGGGAATACGTTACAGAACTTCTTTTCACTTTCTGATTTTGTAGCATTTGGGTTGTCGGTTACTGGAATTGTAGTTTTGAAGTCATCTTGTGTCATGATTCCCATCTCTATTTTAAAATTGAACAATGGCCTTGTGTTTGTGTTTTCATTGCACACTAATGACATGTGAGTTAAGTCAAGAACATAGACAAGCAAAACCAATGCCCCAGCTACAATCGCACCGCATGATGAATGACGTATGTTGTGAAAAAGAACTGGGTTGGTGACTAGTAAAAGTCTCCCACAGGTAAGAGTGCAAACTGTGACAGTTATTGCCAAGACGTAAAGTCTATATGAAAGGACAGCAGTTGTTAAGATGGGATACCTCTTAACAATCTCACTCAGGTGGATACTCCAGAAGCAGGCTACAAAGGACGTGAGAAGGCTTCTGATGGTTAGAGCTGCTAGCAATAGGATCAGCAGAGCTAAGATCCTGTTCAGAATATTTTTCTGCGCCGGGGGTCTAGAGTTTAAGTACCTAAATAGGAGAACTGAAGCTGACATTGTTACTATGAACCCCAGACAGTTGATGATGAAGGTGTAGATGTTTGGCATGTCGGGGACCAGCATTATAAGTCCAGTATAAACAAGCAAACACACAACTTTAATCAAAGTGTGTTTGGACATGGGAATATCCATGATGTCCCCCACCTCTGGATAAACCAGACTGGGCGGAGAGAGGCCCAAGGTTAATCTTAAGAGAGTAAATTCAAGTTTGCTCTCTCTAGTTGCTCTCTGAACTGACGTTGGTTCTGTAGAAGTTTCAATTAAAATCAATTTCCAGAAATTTAAGGATCATATACTGAGTTTATCATTCATTAATTATATAGTCAAGTAAAATGTAAAGTTGGTTCTTATTTCCTGTTTTTACTTTAGAATATTTTAGCTACTTCCAAATATATTATCCCCTTAATCTACAAGGATGTTTTTCATTTCCAATCAAATTTAACTATGTTACATTAGATCAATATAATATTCTACATAACAATGATGTTTTCCAAACTTAACTTATTCAATAGAAACCTTGCTTCCTTAGCAGGACTACAAAAATTGTTATTTTATGAGAAAATGTCGTCTTCATTATCAAAATTCCTCAAAACCGGAATAAATGTAACTCTCAGAATATAGAAATAAAATTTTTTATGAAATATCAACTATATACTAATGTGGCAAAAAATTATCCATGATTTTAGGTTTTAATATCTGAATGATTTGTTTGGAATTAAATTGATTATTTTACAATCCGAGTCGAATGTTGCAACTTTCTGAATTTGTATGAACGCTACTTTTTTTGGTATGAGTCGTTTTTAACAATTTTCTCCTTATAGACGCAACAGATAGAAGTAAGATTAGTATTGATCACGAGGCAGGAAAGGCAACCTCACCCGCACAGCTTCCGAACCTCATTTTACCTATTTGCAGCAGCGGGCGTCCCCATAGAGTTTCCAAACCTCCCCCAAACAATCTTCCAATATAGAGAAAATAGCTTTTATTTTTAAATTTTGTTTCTGAACATATCTTGGATTGGCTGGGGTTTGTGAGTAGCTTTTACTAATAAGTATAGACAAATAGAAATATTCTTCATAAAATGTAAATTATAAATAACATTGCGGTTTGTCAATTTTCTTTCTAGGTATTGAGATATTTAAAGAAAACAAAACTCTGTTATAAACTAATAATTTTAAAACTATTGGGGGCTTTTTTTACAAGCGCTACAGATTTGAAATACATATAGATAAAAAGATAATTTTAGTGTTGCGGAAATTACCTTTTATTGTTGTTTAATGCCTTTTTTTGCAGGTAAACTAACTTAAGATAAATACTTCGCATATTTCATCTGCAGGTAGGTTTAAGTTATGAGGTAACAGTTGCTTAAACCAATCAGAGCCCAGAGAAACGCGATTTCAAACAAAAATCTGCAAAGTTTTAGTTTTTCCAGTCTTAACTTTGATTGTAAAAAAGAAATGAAAATATTATGAAAATGTTAAGGATACTATATGATGGTCTGCCGCGCTTAAATAATCGAATTAGTCCCGTTTTCAGTAGAAATTGACGATCATAAATTGAAGATCATTCATGGAAGATTGTTTGAGGGAGGTTCGGAAGTCCTGTGGGGACACGCACTGCTGCAAATAGATAATTTGAGGTTTGGAAGCTATGCTGGGGAGGTTGCCTTCCCTCCCTCCGATCACCATCAATAATTTTTCGCCGTAAGCCTAAGTCCCCTTCCTTTTTTCGCGAACACTCCATTTAATGGAAAATGTTTTAGAAATAGGTAACGATCCTTTAAAGATTATTTCATGTAAACAGTTGAAAAAGCTGGAACAATTGAAGACAACATTAAAAAATATCAAAACACCTAAAAAAACATCAAAATACATCAATGTATTTTATTTAACAAATAAGCGGGGGAAAAACAGAAGAAAACACCAAATAAACATTTTTTTATTTTCTGCAAGTTTCATGCAATTTTAAGCAGAAAAAAAGAACGAAAGTCACCGTTATTTTAAAACACATTAGTTTTGTTCAACCATTAATGTGTTTTTTTTCTAAACCGGCTCTTTCCGTTAGTAATAATAATAGTTCCCACCCCAATACAAACTTCTTGCTTGAGTTTATTGTCATTTAAAGCAATATTTAAATTGTTAAAGCTAAAGCCGATGAAATTCTGTTCTGAGAAACAAAGTCCAGATATTAAGTTTATCGACTATAGGTTAGAAAGAATAAGACTGTAAAGACGACCTAAAACTTTTAAAGATCCTAAGGTGAAATTTAGTCATGAATAAAATCATTTGAAAGCTTATTCAATTTTAGCAAAGAAAGAAACAAGTTTACACAGTAGCAGGGAATCATGAATAAATGGAAACAGACAGTATTACAATTCCATGAAGTCGTCTCTGAAGAAACAAGTTTACACAGTTGGAGGGAATCATGAATAAATGGAAACAGACAGTATTACAATTCCATGAAGTCGTCTCTGAAGAAACAAGTTTACACAGTTGGAGGGAATCATGAATAAATGGAAACAGACAGTATTACAATTCCATGAAGTCGTCTCTGAAGTCTCATCCTTTTTCCCTGAACATTCTGTATTTTTTGCAAACAGTCCCTTTTATTAACGTTTTCCCTGAACCTTCTGTATTTTTTGCAAACAGTCCCTTTTATTAACGTTTTCTACCTTGAATAAATCTCCAAATTTGATGCACTCTGATCCATCTTTAGATCTAAAATGTTAAACTATTTTAACGTTTATACGTAAGATACTAGATAAAGGCTAGGGCATATACAGGATTTTGTTGATGCTCCTTTTAGCAGTTTGCCCAGCAAAATCAAGAACGTTGCCTTAACGTAAGAATAATGTTTTTGGTGTAATTTCACAACAAAAGTTTTAGGGTGGCAAAAATGTACACTCAAAAGATGTTTCAGAAAAGTATTATCTAGCATGTTTTATCATCTACCTATAAATCTATGTTTCATATTTATATCTTACTGCTTTGCATTTTAAATGGAAGCGCTAATAATTTATGGCGCACAACAGCAGTGTGATGCACCAATAAGAATGCATTTGTGCACAACTTTTCATCTAACAAAATTTGTTGGAGCGCCAGAGCCGAATTCAACTTGCAAAGTTTGTAAGATAAAAATTTGGCAAAATTTGGACGGATGTATAAGGATGAAATATTGAGGGCACACAACAGTATAACATAAACATATAAAATGAAGGTTTATGTAAGTAGATATCTTACTTAAATCCAAACTGTGCAATCTGGTAGCATAGACTTGATACTTCATCAACTACATTTTGCTGGTACTAAAAACGTTTTTTTTTGTATTCATCAGCCATCTGTTGGAATTTTGGTCAATTTGTCATTTTTTCTTCTTGTAATATATCTTTAGCTAAGCCTGTCCGTATTGTCCTGCTGTTCAGTTCCGTAATGTTCTGCTGTCCTATTCCGTAATGTCCTGCTGTCCAGTTCCGTAATGTCCTGCTGTCCAGTTCCGTAATGTCCTGCTGTCCTGTTCCGTAATGTCCTGCTGTCCAGTTCCGTAATGTCCTGCTGTCCTGTTTTGTCATTGCTTTCTTTTCTGTCCCTCAGTAAAAATTTGAATTCGTTAGTTTTCAGAATTATTATTAATCTATTTGGTTTATTTTCTAACTGATAGATTATTCAAATAAATCATTTGTTCAGTGAGATTGTTTGTTCAGGAAAATAATGTTTCATCATTTGTTTAAAATTTGTTGGTTCAATAAAAATCTATACTTGTTCTAAAGGTTTGTTAAAAAAATGGTTTGTTCAGTAAACCTTATTGGTTTTCAAAAGTTTGTTCAAAAAATTGTGTGTTCAATAAAGAACATTTTTCAAATTTTGTTATAAAAAGTTGTTTGTTAACAATAAAATGCTAACAATCTGTTAAAATTTTACATTATTAATGTTTGCTTTTCTCATTTGGTTTGAAAAAAATTGTTGTTTTTTTCTTTGAACAATTCAAATTGTTTGTCTATTGTTAAAATTTTTTTTCTGAATAGTTCTTTTGTTATGAAATATTTCAGTTCCTCATGAAAACGATGCATATCTCTACCTCTAAGCTTCTTCTCTCTGAATCTGAACCAGGAACCGGTTTTCCGTAGTCTGGCCCGTACTGGTCAGCTGATACAAGACACATGTTTAGGGGAAGTCAGCTGTTACTCAGATCAATCATTAAAACTGTGCTTCAAGTTTAAATGCAATCAACAAATTTAAATGCAATTTGTTTGAAAAGACTTCTATGTAGGTAAAATACAGTTTTCCTAAAGTGATAAAAGTATATATTGAATGTTTATACAATTTTTGTTTTATTGTCCAATTGAAAATTAAAAACTCAATAATTTTACACATGTTAAAAAGTAAAACCTACAGTCTACACAGACACGAATAAAAAACAGATTATGTTTGGTGATTTTACCAAGCTTTGAAAGATGGCTGCTCTGTCGCTGAAAGCTCTTTGTCATGAGATCGTCTTCCCAATTAAAATCCTTCTCGACCGCCATCTTGTCTGTATTTAGTTTTGTCTTCAAAAAAAAATTTACTACAGCATATAACAATTTTCCATTTTAGATTTTGTAAGAAATCTTTTGATCATGTTAAAATTTGAGTAATTTGGGTTTTATGTTTTATTTTTTTAATAAAATATCAAATAAAAATTTCCGATCTATGTAAGATATACAGAGGTTGGAACTTGAGGTTGAGTAATGTTTATCTTAAATGCTTAATCTCGATATTCAATGTGGGGCACTTTGAAAGTGAGGGTAGCTGCTTGATCCCTCTCTAAGCAGTTATTTATGCAGATTCACAACACAATAGTTTTGATTTTAAGATATTTCAAGATATTTCAAGATTTTTCAAGATATTTCAAGATAGTTCAAGATATTTAAAGATATTTCAAGATAATTCAACATATTTCAAGATATTTCATGATATTTCAAGATACTTCAAGATATTTTAAGACACCACATTTTAGAGATATTTCAGTTACAAATAATAAGTTCCTTAGCAGTATTTCTAATTTGAAAAAAGCAACAATAAAAGACGACATTGCTGTTTTTTGGGTTATCATTGTCTCAGAAATTAAAACCGGAAAACAGTAGAATAATTGTCGTCTTCTTTCTTTCTTTTAAATATAAATTATCACTTCGGATCGTACATTCTTGTATAATAGCTGTGAAAATTACAAATTACAAAACTTTTATGAAGTAAAAGTAAGACATAAATATGCATAACATTTTATATCATGATTAGAATATTAGAATATTATTATTCACTAAATTCACTAAGATCGTTATCTCTAAGTTCAAACTTCAATTAGTTATATCAAAATTGTCTAACCCAATTTTATATAATATATTTCTAAACATATGCAAAAGTCACAACTTTCTAGATATCCGATCTGGGACAGTGAACAATCCCTTTTTACAAATTTATATTTTCGTTGCTAATTTTAAATCGATTAACTTTGATGTGCTAACGTTGACCATGCACTAACCGACTAAATTGAAAGTTACGGATAAAATAAAAATGCTGAAGTAGCAAATCTTAATAAATATTTCAAACATATTGCAATATTTGAAGGGAGTGTTCCCGAAAAATGAAAGGGGGTATCGGTTTAAGGCGAAAAATAATCGCTTTTGATCGCTACTAATCTTACTTGTATCTGATTCATCTGATGCGTCTTTAAGGAGAAAATTGTTAAAACGACTTGTACCGATCACCCAAGAACGTAGAATCCATGCAAATTGAGAAAGTTAAAAAAATCAATTTAATATCAAACAAATCATTTAGATATTAAAACCTATATGGATTATTTTTCGACACAATCGTATATATACAACGCATTTAAAACGCCGATTAGTTTGTCCGCCAGGTGTCTCTGCTCTCTTAATGATTCCACGTGCAAAAATAATTTGACATTTTTGATGTAATAGTTTCACCCTTACTGTAGATTTAGGACAGAACAAAATGTGTAAATGTCGTCTCTGAAGTCTCATTCACTGTGGGAAAACCTGTAGCTATGCACTGTTAAAAAAACATTTTGTACACAGCATCGAGTTTACCAAAAGCATTTCGAAAAAGAATTAAAAATCGAGTGATTTTAAATATTGAAAATACTAAAACTCAAAAATGGACAACAACAAATTTCTGTTTTAATTTTGATTACTGGTTATTTTTCGTATAAATTTTAGGACAAAATTCCACATTGATTTTGGGGGCCCTGAGGCCTTATTACTTTTATAATTATAATGTAAGTGTAAATTATCTTGCTACATATTGAATACGACCAGGAATAAGAATATTAATTCGGTTGAAATAATTTTAAATATTAACGCTTAAAGTATAAAGTGTATTAAATAAGTCATGCCACAATCATGGCAATTGAGAGACAAAACATGAAGCTCATGTTTGAATTATCATTATGTTTTAGGGTGTTTAAAAAAGGCTGGCCGCTTATATAGGGTGTCCCACATCATATCGTTCTGGCTTTTTAAATTGAGATTTTAGAGACTAATCAGAAAATAAAAAAATGCAGTAGGATAATATAAATTTCTTACAGAGAAAATACGAGGTTTTTCTAGTATTTTTGCGTATTTTGGCGTTAAAGCTTGGAGAAAATATAATATGATATGGGACGCACGCTCTGTATGTCTAGCTATTAAAATATGGTAAAGCCTTTCTAAATACATGATATTGGACAATTTTTTCCTTTTCAGCAATATCTGAGAAAAATACGAAAGTTTGTTTTCATTATCTTAACGAATATGATGAAAAAGATAAGAAAATTTATGATTACGAAGAAAAAATCTCAGTTTTTTAGAATTTGTAAAAACTTCTAATCAATGTCAGTTTGAAAATTAGGAGAATTGATTATTTTTAGTTTTATTTAAATATTTTATTCTCAGTTTTCAACTAAACGTCGCCTCTCCAGTGGGGGTAGGTATAAGGTGGCGTTTATATATAAATATATATATAAATGAGACGATGAGGGAGGGGGGAGAAGGGGGTGCAAAATA